GTACTTTTACCCTCCCTGCCTCAACAAAAGCAACGCTGTCTTTATCGATAACAGTACCTCAAAATGAACCGATTGGAGACCGACATGGTTCAATGATAGTTCGTTCAAAACTAACTGAGGTTGTAATCGGATATAAAATCCTTGTCACCTCGAGTAATAAAGTTGATTTAAGGATAAGAATAGAAGATGAATATACATATTACACTGATGGTGACCCGTTGGTTGTTGGGGCGAAAGTGAGGCTAAGGAACCCACAAAAGGGAAACATTATTGAAACCTACACAACTTCAAACAACACAGGTATGTCAATCTTACAATTCTGCATTGATTCAGTTATCAGTATTTCTGCAAGTTTTTTTCTACTTGTTCTTTTATACTCATTTTACTCAGTTTCCTCTAACTTGATATACAGAGTGTCAAATAAATATGTTTCCCCCTTAATTTCAACGGTATGAACGTTTGTGGATAAAGGTGCATCTAGTTGAACTAGTCATCTGAAATGCCTTGTAGAGCAGCTCCGTGAAGCCTACTTTTAATGTGCTAAGGAACAAGTCGGATGTCATTCAATCAAAAAAGAAATGCAATACTATATGGATATTGAAATTAAGGGAGAAGAAAATATTTATTTGACACCCTGTAATCCATACATTTATCTTTATGTCTGCACAGAACTTCTAAATATCAATAATTTGCAATAGAACTGCTGTTTGACGATCTCGAAGAGGCATACTACAATTTGCAAGTGAGTGCAGACAGGCACACGTCATACAGTGCTGTCATCCTGGCATCTCCAGCCAACCCGAACATTACAGTCTTCCTACAGAGAACGGCAGTGAAGTATAGCTGGACTGTTACCCCTGTTACATACCAAGATAAATACATTGTCACCTTAGATTCAACATTTGAAACCGAGGTATGTTTAATACATTTTAAAAAGATATTACTCAAATGTGACAAAATAATGAGAATGTGTGTTTGAACTATATAGAAGCAAATATCAATAATAAACATTAATTATACTATACCATGTGTCATTCATTATAGGTACCAATGCCAGTTGTTACGATGGAGCCACGACAAGTCGACCTAACTGCCTTGGAAGAGGGAGAAAAGAATGAAATTGTATTCACTATAACGAACCATGGATTAATAAGAGCACAGAATCTTAGATTTGCACTTCCAAACAATCACCCAACACTTGAATTCATACAGGTTCATACATCTTTTATCAGATTTTGTGTTAAAGCTTATTATTTCAAATGATATTAAATACGAATTCTTATGTTCTAAATGAACTAGAAAGTATAATTGTCTTACTTATAATTCAAATTCTATATCTTAACGTAAGAACTAACTAAAGTGTAGATTTTTTGCTTTACAGACCGTTCCAACTATTGGCGACATTGAAGCCAACACAACACTTATAGTTCCAGTGAAGGTTAATGAGAAGCCCAGACAAAAAAGAAACTTTCTTTTGTGCTTAGCCTTTGGAATCAAATTACTTTGGGACTACCTTTGTGGGGTTCTTAGGACAAACGACCTCGATGTCATGCTTCAACGTCGCCAAGAGATGTCCCGTATTCCTCCAAATGTATGTGGTGGTGGTGGAGACCCAGTTGAAGGGGGTGGAGGATATTTAGGTATTTAATCCCGTTTTACCATAACCCTATTTCTTATTTAAATACAGTGAATATAAGGCATCATAAACCTTTGTCACTCTCGCTGTATAACACAAAATAAAATACATGGCACCAATGTGAATTTACAGCTTTATTCATAAAAGGCACAAACAAAAGGATAAGTGCCCATGTAAATATAGGATGTGTCCCCGCAAATAAGTTTCGATTATATCTATATAGTTAACTTAATTGGAAATAAATTATTTCCTTGTAACATGTAGGACCTGTAAGCGGTCCTGGTGGATCAAGAGTTTCTACAAGTGTACGCAACTATGAGGCCGTGACGCCAATGTCATGTGACTGTGCCAAGAAATTAATCCTTGACTGCCTTCTGCCTATGGTACCCGGATTTGGACCTTTGTACTCCCTTGGGCGGAAGGGATATGCATTAGGAAGTGCCATATCTAGTAAAAAGTAAGTTGATTTGAAGATGCCATATCTAGTAAAAAAGTAAGTTGATTTGAAGATATCTCGATTTTCGGGATATCTCGTTAATTTACTCATTGGATCTTTTCAGTCACATGATTTTTTTGTCTGGTATAAACATCAAGAAGTTGTTGGGCTTCAAATATTCTTAAAGGAATATTCCTTGCCAAACCATCTCTCTCCTCATATGGTAGCTATAACCATATATATGCTTGCCATGTTCAGAAAAACACCCAAAAATGTTTTGATATGGTCAAATTTGATCACTTAGAAATGTGATGCTCAATTCCAGTAAGCTGCCATCTTTTAAAATTTCACACAGGAAGTGATGTCATCGACTCTCAACTTTGCATATAGCATTAGGTGAAGAGCTATTAAGAATTACAAAACCAGCTAAATATTCTTTTTCAACTTTGAATCTTATTTAATCCTTCTGAAAATCTCTTCTTTTATTGTAAGTTAACAAGCCTTGAAAATATTTTTGCCCAGAAAGTAATGATTTTGTGCTACTTCCCTATACTGTTATGGGCAAGGTTATAGAAGTTGAGAGTTGATGACATCACTTCCTGCAAGAAATCTTAAAAGATGGCAGCTCACTGGAAATAAGCACTAGATTTTTAAATGATCAATATTGACCATATTAAAACATTTTCCCATGTTTTGCTAAATATGGAAACTATATATATGATTATAGCTACCATATCAAGAGAGAAAGAGTCTGGCAAGGAATATTCCTTTAAATTGATAATGATTTCGAAGTGATTACATGTCATTTAAATAATAACTTTTAGACATGGTTTATTCGAAACTTTCATTCAGATGTATTAGCTGTGAGGTATAACTGTTTTAAACTAAGAGATTCATTTATGGTCATTTAAATTATGGTTTTAAAGCTAAGTTTTTCGTTAAAAAGTGCAAGTAAAGGTTGTCAGTCTTCGTTCAAAGCATTTGATAGATTGATACTTGGTTTAAAAATCTAGAACTGTTCAGAGTTGTTAGCTTAAATGTCTTTAAAGACATTAATTTGAAATAGAGCTGCTATAGATTAACATTTGATTTTACGATTGTTTTTCTGAACAATTATTTTACAGACGTAAACGCCGTGATCTTAATGGTGACATCATATATGCCGATGACCATAGCTATTTATTTGCACGGGCAAAAAGAAAGAAACGCTACATCCCCGAATCGGTCGATGCAGCTGCATCATTTAGTTCAAAGTATGGCTGCATCAAATCTGTAGGCGAGGCCACCGGTAAGGCAATCTTGATATACATGTTATTTAAACTTTGTTTCTCTTTTTAAAGACGCAACATTTTTATAAATATTTTAAAATGAATTATGCTTTTTTCTGTTTCAAAGTTGTATATTTTGAAACACAAATGACACTTTTCTCATGTGAGACGAGTAAGTATTCACAGAGTAATCCATTAGCAACACCAACTATGTTGCACTTCCGATACCACTCAATCAATCAAATATTTTCAACACCTGGAACAATATTACCTCAGCATTCTTTAGCTATATCCTCCAAGAAAAAGCTTCCATTACTAATTTTCAAAGAAAGTTTTATAGAGACATTATAATATGGTGATATTAAATAATTTGATAATATTAAATGTTTTGATTCAATTTGCATATTACTCTCCATAGTTGCCACCTTTGCAATGTGTCGTATTACATATTCTGCAAACTACTCTTAGAATTAATGTGAACACATTTTTGGAATGCTTCCACAAGGCATTCTCTAAATCATCTGCAGTTTTGAAATATGTTTCATATAAATTCCTTCAGTTCTTGACATTAAGTAGTCACATGGGATGCACTTCGGAAGTACAGGGCATGTTCAAGGTGTGGAAGTACCAGTCCTTCCCATGCAATGGTTATCCAGATTACCTTGCATTGTGTGCTAAGGCATTATCCCAGTGGATACCGTTTATCTGTTCCAGTCGTGTATATTTTATTATGTAAAGATGCTAAGTTGAATTTTTTTTTTAAAAGCAACATTATTTACTAAATTAGCCTGTGTAACATTCATAAATAGTATTATATTGATGTTTTTACGAAAACATGAAAAATATTTATTTGATCGTTTATTGGTATTAATTTAGCCGAGAATGAGAGAAGAGTTGTACTTGTCTTTCAAAATTTAATTCCCCCGGGTGACGTCACATTTGCGACAACACAAAGCATAAAATTGAGCAATCAAATAGCAGATGCTTTATTGTTGAGGTAATGTTCAGGGAACAACTGTTTTAAGAAGAATGATCCAGAAGTATTGAAATGGCAACATCTTTGACGTTACTTCTGAATCACCCTGTATGTGAGTTGTTATTCTAATCTTTCAGGTGAAAGTCTAGCAGGAGAAAGTGTTGGAAACAGCGCACTTAAAATCGGAGGTGGCTGCTTACCAGGTCCCGCGGGACAAGCAGTCGGGTATGTTTTTTGGATCAAGGAAAAATGTGCTTTGCTTGTATTGTTGGCTTTGTTCCTTTTAATTGTAAAATAGTATGTGATATATATAATATGTTTTTCGAAAAACCAACAAGAACATAATTTTCTTAAGTAGCGAATATTTTCATAGTATGATCTTTAAAGTATTCTATACGCCTGGTTGTTGTAGATGTGTGCATATCATCAAAGCTGAATGTCCCAAGCTTGATGCGGCCGCAGCGGCAGGTGGTGGGAAAAGAAAACGGCGCTCAACAATACAGGATGTGTATATCAACATGGCGGCAGTAAATTCAATAGTTTACGACATGTATCAGTTATCCTACCATATGTATGGAAGCAAAGAAATGTAAGAAAAACAATAATAGAAACACAATGATCGAGGCGTTGTGAAAAAATCAATCACAAATTATTAACATGACCCCAGTAGTCATCCGTTAGGATCTGAACTCAAAGGTCTAACTGTATTTTGATCAGCTTAATTTCTGCATCCACCCAGATATCATAAGACAATTTGAAGATGATTGTCTTTTCCTTTCATGTTTTCTATAACTCTTCATTTTTTAAACTTGTGTTAATATATATATATATTAATTGTGCCTAGGTTGATCACATTAATACTAGTAATTTATCTGTTTTCATCTTCTAATTGCTATCGCAGCTGTTAATTGTTTTCATTTTTAGGTTTAATCTTGGTCTTGGGCTATGGTATCAAGAGTTTGAAGAGAGTATTTCTGATAACAGCGATCTGGGGACATCTTTATCATTAAACGAGTCAGCGAGTGTGTTACAATACATCAATGAAACAGATCATGCACTTGTTTCTGCTTTCCTCCAACGATGGAACAACTCCGTTAACGCCTGGAGGAATGGTGTGACAGAACCTTCACAAAGTCTTGATATAATTTCAAAATCAATGCTCGAGACGACAATGAAAAAGTTCACTGAAGAACATCATGAATCTGTAAAGGTAAGCCTATGACGATTTTCTTTGAAATTGTATTCATAGATGAAAAATGTCAGGATATATGAATCTCCTGTTTGTAAATGTGAAATTGTCATCGATCATACATTGCTATTGCTAAACGCTCAGTTGTATCTTCCAGAGAGGATTCGATAACGTGTTTGCTGAGTTTGACAATGCGTACGTGGCAGTAAGGGATAACTTCGAAAACGCAAAGGTAACTACTGTATAACATGCAGTTTACATCCCAATAAAAAACGTTATTTTATTACTTAATTTGCTCGTTTGCATAAAGCGCTTAACTGTTTAACTAAATGGTCAAAAACTCGTACAAAAGGCTGTGGGGTGTATCTGTATGTCTATGAGGAGGGGTTTCTGGCTAATTAGGAAAATTACGACCGTACATATACGGAATATGCCCAGGAGGTATTGCTCACATTTGCTGTAAACAAAATACAATACAATACAATTCAATACAGTAGAACACAATGAATTACGACTAGTGTAGGTTCTAGATATCAATGCTATTCTTCCAAAAGTTTGTACATGTATACATTTTCTATATATCTAGAAAGAAGAGGGTGTATGTGCCAGAGTGAGAATACGAATAGTACAAGAAGCAGTTCTAACACGAGATGCATTTAATGGAAAGCTAGAGATTGAAAATGGCGAGGGATCTGATCTGACACATATTAAAGTGGAGCTTCATATCTTTAAATCGGACGATGTAACCCAAGAACATATGATAGAACACTTTGCAATAGGTAATAGAGATGTTAAGCTAGCATAAAAATCGAAACCGAAACCTGTATGTATCACTCGCCCATATACAAATGCATGTGACGCTCTCACATAAATAGCCGTTCAGCTTCAGGGTTTGTTTAGACTACACCATAGCGTGCAAATATTCTACAGTTTGTCATTGATTTTGTTTTATATTTGTTTTTCTAATATATATTTTACTCGTGTCATACGATTTTTGGAGCTAAATTATGCAAAACATAAATCATCGTCTTCAGGAAGACTTCTCTTGTGCATTGAAATCAAAATTGCAAGCATAGTATTGAATAGACAAGAGTACAATGGCTCCCGTTTACACCAACGTCAAATTTAAAATCTCTTGTTCTAACCACGACACTGAAGCTGAATGAGTCTCTAAAGTAGACTCAAGCGCATATAAAAATATGCGCGTTAGATACATTCCTTTGTTGTACTTTCAGTCCACGCTGATAACATTGTGAAAAACATTGCAAGCTTAACCTCTCTAATAACTGTTTTTTTATTCGATTCATAAAAATAATATATTATTTACAATTTGTAATGTTCTTGCACAACACTTGTGAAAATGTAATCAAGTCAGGAATATATCTTGACATTTTGAACTTTGTTGACAGGGGATCCAGATTTGAATGGAATTAGCGCAGTGGATGGTTCGGGGAGTCTACCTAAAGGGAAAAGTGGGTCTGTCGAATGGTTGATTATTCCTTATTCAACAGCTGCACCAACTGAGGATGTTCTATATGACATTGGTGGTGTGCTCACCTACTTTGTTAATGGAGCTAATTTTACTGCCCCACTGCTTGCCGATAGTGTTACTGTCAAACCAGACCCACGACTGCACATCCATTACTTTCATGAGAAATATGTTGAAGCTGATGATCCATTCACAAAAGATGTTGTTGAGCCATCTATTCCATTTAGCTTGGCTGTAATGATAACAAATACGGGCAATGGTATGGCGAAAGAATTTAAGATAACATCAGCTCAACCTAAAATAATTGAAAACGAAAAGGGGTTATTGGTGTCATTCAAGATTATTGCGGCACAATTGGGCAATGAAGATATATCACCATCTTTGATGATAGACTTTGGTGATATAGAGCCCCATCAGACGAAAACTGCCCGATGGCTTCTGGAATGTTCTCTAAAAGGGAAATTCTTCAACTACACTGCAACATTTGAGAACATTAACCCCCTGGGTGACCCTGAACTTTCAGTGTTAGATGTCCTTGAGTATCATGACTTGATTCACCTGGTTCGAATGCGAAGTAATATCACACAGTCTGATGATGGGTTCCGGGATTTCCTTGTTAATGATGAACTTGATGGATTGGACATGCCGGATGTTGTATACAATAGCAAGGACCAATCCAAAGAGCCAGTGTTCGTGAGTCTGAATGTGACATATGAAAGAGCGAACAAACATTGGTCAGGCAAAGAGTATAAATACATGTACGTCAATGTACCTCTTAACTGGAACTGTACTGATTGGCTGTACACACGTTTTGAGCATGACATTGAACTAGATGCTGACAACCAATTACTTCGGGTCATAAGAGATGATGGAAAGGAACTTATAAGACCAGATAATGCATGGATGACATGGCATATAGAAGATTCTCTATTCGGGCATTTGTTTGACCATTGTCCATGGACTCTGGATCAATTGTTTCATAACTACACATATATTGTTGGTCCACTTAATAAACATGATCCAAAAGTGAACGAGACCATAACATCGATTAATGTAAAAATACCAATAAGTAAAACAACTTACATTGCAACCATCATTGCGACTGATGAAGACAGTGATGGTATCGAGTTTAGCTTGGTTGAACATTCCGACTACTTCCAAATAGATAGTAACAGTGGTGTAATCACAGCATTTCAAGATATTGGACCATTAGTTGTTGACGAAACTATCCAAGTAGGCGTTAAAGATGATGGTATTCCGTCAAGGAAAAGTATCAGTGTTATCAATGTAAAATTCGAGGCTGCTGATAGATCATCATCAACAACAACAACAACTATGACATCCTACCACACACCCGAAACAACAAATTCTACACCCCTAACAGAAATTACTACAGTAAAGTCTGTTACTAAGCCAACAACGACAGAAGCCACATTCGATAAAACCGCAGATGGGAAAATTCAAACGGACTACACCCAAGTGGTATCTATTGCTGATACAACAACAGGAACAACTCAATCCGACCATATAGCTGAAACAACGGATGTAATAACTACTACAGAACACACCTCGGTGACACCTGATGGTAATACAACCACAGGAGCAACAACACCCGAAGACACAATTGATACCACAGATGATATGATCCATACAGAGCTTACTACATTGACAACTGCTACTTCAACCACAAGAGCAACACCATCTGGTCACACAGTCGATACCACAGATGATATGACCCATCCAAAACTTACTACATTGACAACTGCTACTACAACCACAAGAGCAACACCATCTGGTCACACAGTCAATACCACAGATGATATGATCCATCCAGAACTTACTACAGTGACATCTGCTGCTAATACGACCACAACAGCAACACCACCTGGTCACACAGTTGATACCACAGATTATATGATCCATCGAGAACTTACTACAGTGGCATCTGCTGCTAATACGACCACAATAATAACAACAGGTGCCGATCACAAAGTCGAAACAACAGATGCGATAATGCATACGGAAACCACCCAAATGAAATATGCTACTGATAGCACGGCAAAACCAACAACCCCAGGCCACACAGCCAAAATCACAGATGAAATAACGCATACACAACAAACAACTACTGACATCTACAACAATTCTACACACCCAGTGACTACAATTTTTGAGACCACCTTTGAAGAAACGTATTCAACAACATCTGGAAGAACAACATCCATAAAACCTAGAGTGACTTCTGGGTCATCGACTCCTTCAAAAAACTGTAAGTTACTACTATGGCATATATTTTTTCCATTCTTGCAAAATCGAATGGTGATAGTTGCAGAGTTAAATGCTGATTCCAAGTATTGATTATGTGTTTACTATTAAATTGGTGTAAATGCGCGAAGATAAAAGAAGAGATGTGTAACACTGTATCATTGGTCGTACATGAGGATAATAATTTTATATAATTTCAGCTGGATTGCTTTCTCTGTTATTGACGTTGAATATGCTATGGAAGGCTGTGTTTAGTAATGTCAATGCCACTGAAACAACCACTTTGACAAATTCTGTATTATTGCTAGTAAGTAGTTTCCCATATTCCAGAAAGCAATGAAAACGAGAGAATATCAGAGATTGACTGTTAAACACCAAAAGATTCAGGTTTTAACATTTAAAGGGGATCAATTTGTATTATTCTAACATTCAACAAGATGCATAGCCCTTAGTTCAATAACATTTTTCTCACTTAGAAAGTAAATCAACATTTGTGCCGAAGTATTCACAATATCAAACGTATTCATCATACTAATCGAACAACCTCTACCTTTTTCAGTTACAAGATGCATTTAAACAATTGACGAATTTTGTGAGAGTCATCATATATAATTTAAGGTTCGTTAACAAAATTCAAGAGAAAGTCATCTTAGTCGACATGTAATATTATTACCACCTTGCAGGGCCTGTTCTAGGGGTTTTAGTACTAGTTGAGAAGGCATTTAAATTGCTATATTGACGTGAGCAATATTGTGTCGGGCGTTAATGACTTTAGTCGGGCAATAATGACATTATCCGCCCGGCTATGTTTCCCGGGAAAAGTGATATCGTTCAGTGCGTAAGATTTTCTATTTCAAATTTGCTATTTCAGCCCTGGGCATTAACGGTGGTAATAATAGTAATAACGTCATTTCTGCGGGCAAAATAGTGAAATATTGGACCTTGGGCCTGCGGCCCTTTGTCCAATATTTCACTATATTGCCCGCAGAAATGACGTTATTGTACTATTATTTAAGCTGAATTTTAATACATTGTTTATATTTCTGAGAAGTAGCTGTAGCCTTAGTTATTAAGCTGAAGGTGTCTAGTATTATTTGACACAAATAGCTATAGTTTTATCCTCGCTTAAGTAGTAAAATGAGTTTTAAAAGATTCGACGAGAATTTTAATAATAATATCAAAAGCCTAACCAGCATTTTAATTAAAATAAACTATTCACACTTTCAGACCCGGTAGTGTAATAGTGAAAGTAGGAGTTTTCCTGACAGAGAAAGCTGACAATAAAACGGCAAATCAAACCAGTGATGTTTTGAGAAAACACTTGGAGACTGTAAACTACACGATCGTAGGAGAGAAGGAAAATATTACAATAAAAAATGATAGTCTAGTTGTCAGTAAGTGTTAAGCAGTAGCAAATGCAATTCACTAAATGGGTAACGGCCTATTTTTTTGATCTTGGGTATGTTGCTATTACTTAGGACATTTGACGTACGTTAAGTTGTGTTTAATATAAAACCTATACCACTCCTTATACGGTATAAATAATATAATACATAAAATTAAGTGAACCTGAGAAGTATACTTCTGTTTTAGACGTAGATCCTTGTCAGGACATCGACTGTGGTGGAAATGGAGAATGCATTTCTGAGGACCAGAAAACAACTTGCAAGTATGTTGTTGCACTACATGTTTCACATAATCGACTTTCACAAGTATGTGGCTATAACAAAATACATAGTACGTAAATATGAAATATATAAATAAAGTCAAATGACGGCATGAAAGTCATTAGTTTGGTATAATTTATTTTGCATTGATGTCCTTACCCTTTTTTATGTTGATTATGTTTTTAATTTTAGAATAGCATTCAATAATTGCATTGATACCCGTAAATATCATAGTATACTTTACATATGTAGTTCAGGTGCAATCCTGCATTTTAGAATAGCATTCAATAATTTCATTGATGCCCGTAAATATCATAGTTTACTTTACATATGTGGTTCAGATGCAATCCTGCATTTTAGAATAGCATTCAATAATTTCATTGATACCCGTAAATATCAAAGTATACTGTACATATTTAGTTCAGGTGCAATCCTGCATTTTAGAATAGCATTCAATAATTTCATTGATACCCGTGAATATCATAGTATATTGTACATATGTAGTTTAGGTGCAATTCTGCATTTTAGAATAGCATTCAATAATTTCATTGATACGCGTGAATATCATAGTTTAATTTACATATTTGGCTTAGGTGCAATCCTGCATTTTAGAATAGCATTCAATAATTTCATTGATGCCCGTGAATATCATAGTATACTGTACATATGTAGTTCAGGTGCAATCCTGCATTTTAGAATAGCATTCAATAATTTCATTGATGCCCGTGAATATCATAGTATACTGTACATATGTAGTTTAGGTGCAATCCTTCATTTTAGAATAGCATATAATAATTTCATTGATACCCGTGAATACATTTGTACTTCAGGTGCAATCAAGGCTACAGAGGTCCTCGTTGTGGCGACTCTAAGGTTGGAGAATCGACCAACACTATCATTATAATAGTGTGTGTGGCGGTCGGTGCTGTATGTATTATAGGGATATTTGCTGCATGTTACTGTGCCATGCAAAGAGGGAAGAGAAACAAATCGTCTTCAAACAGAGATGATGATAAGGATACGTCTGTATTTGGATACAACTCCACAATGCTTGCAAAGCATCATATATCAAAGTAAGGATTATTTAACGTGTGTAATGATTGAGTTTATTCTTCCTGAATAGACAGTGCTTTACTCTAATTTGTTTTTTCTTTCCGCTCTTGGTTCTTTATAATTATTGTGTTTATGACTGAGTTAACCTTGTGCGTAAAATGCGACCAGTCTTGTAAGTGATAAATATAATCAGTCTGCTATAGTCAACGCGGCTGTTGAAACAACGGTTACCTTTGTATACAGTGTGCGTAGCCTTGAAAGTGTTTAAGCTATTCTATTGAATGACTGATGCTTTTCTTTATACCTACATGTACTAGAGACCAACAATGCATGACATGACGGGTATACTGTCGCATCCTACGACCACTCTAGTTTGTGGTCGTATGCTCAAACAAAAGGTCAGGCAGTGTTTCTACGAATTCAAGAATACACTACGCATTGCAGACTTAAATGACCTTAATCTCGATACATTCTAGATGCAATTTTCATTTATTTTCCTTCGTTGCGTACCTCTCTTGGTACATCCGGGCTCTGCTAATTAAGGGGAACCCCCTTCGACATTTTGAAAAGTGCTGACATACTTCCGATGTAAAACAGAAATGTCTTCATTCTGCCGATAAACCCATAAAATTGGCGTTCCAACTACATAAAAATAATTCTAAAATACTCAGGAATGTATCGAGGTAGATCATTTAAGTGTGCAATGCGTAGTTTATTCTCCAACTTTGTAGAAACACTGCCTGACCAATTGTTTGAGCGTACTCGACCACAAAAAAGTGATCATATTCGTGTAATGAGACACAATGTCTATTCATCGACATCGAAGTCTGTACATCACAAAAAATGAATTACTTATTACTCTTAATCCAAAAATGTTTGCAGCACATCACCCAACCCCACTGAGTTGAGATCAAGTTGGATGGGCGGCCTGTAGATTGAGTCGCAAAAACAGGCATTCTGCTACAAAGATGAACAAGTCGTGACTAGACTAACAAACCGTCTTGGCTTTATTTTATGGACAACTGGAAAAATATATCTACAAAAAAGGACAAAGTGTTTGGCCGCAAAACGGAACACTACAAGTTCCATAATAACAATATATTTTGATAATCAGAGATGCTTAGATTATAATGTACAGCATATATTTAAACGGAATGCTTACGTTTATGTGGATGTGCATGATGGACTTTTTCTATGACATACACTTTATCAAAAGTCCCATCATAAACATCTATTGGATAGCGTAGAAACATGATGCCATAATATGTTACAAATTCGTAAACTTAAATTAAAACTTGGGATATGAATCAAAATCTTTAATATAGGTGCTTTTTGGACAAATATTGAAAATGTCGTTCTTCTTTTTATATAAAATTAGGAAATACAAATCACTGGACAATAACCCGTAGATTTACAGAAGACTAAATATAAGCAAATACCTTCTGTCTTATGCTATTCAGAATGTAACATATATTTGCGATAATGTTGATTTACAAAATGAAATAAAATGCCAGTTACCATGAGACATTTAGACTCTTGTAATGTCATGAAATCTTAGATGTTTTGATATGGTATACCTACTTACCCTAATCAGTGTACACCGCCCCTTTGGAATCCAGATGTACCCTTCTTGATTGCGTGGAGATATAAAGACAAATTTGTCATAAATTCTTAAGTATCAAAAAGGAAAATAAAGATTCAAACGCTATTGGCTGCCAGATATATTGGGAAGAGTGTCTAGTTTATATCCTCAATATTATATTGTAAGATCCTTGATTTTGAACAAATATAGTAATGTATAAAAACAATTGTCTAAATACAATGCTTGGAAGTATCCAAAATGCGAAGCATTGTCAAAGAAAAATAAATTTGTTTCCCGATGCATATACCACATCATCTGTGTATTGAAATCAATGTTATATTACTCTTAACCTTAAAAAGAAACGATCAACTGGTCAATACAATTAGTTTGAAAATATAAACTAATCTGGAATCTCGAAAAACGGAATAGTTTTCTTTACAGTTTTGTAAAGTTTTGGTCCGCAGCACCTCATCAATTTACTATGACAACCTTTTTTTATTATCAATTTATTTCTGATTTCATACACATATCCATACAAAACAGTGCATTTGATACGTAATACAATACAGAAATATACATGGTATAAAAAGATAAAATAGGATTCAGAGATCAAGTCAAGTCATCAAATCCGTGTTGATGCGAATATCATTACTCAAAATTACATATGGAATAAATCAAGTGGTCAATAGCAATGATTTAAAATTAAGATTTATTCCTTTTTAAACATATGCTACGTATGAATATCCAAGAAGTATACCTGTATGCTATACCTGGTGCAATGTGCATACTCCCAAAAGACAAATAATCGCTTGCATAGATGAGAGCTAAGCGTCACATACAACTGAATATGTTTCATTATGGAGTATCGGATTTGCTGTGATATCAAACACTGCAACTTACACCAACATCTTCATCATGGCCGCAGTTCTCAACTCCCCAACCTTGGTGTCTACATTCAAACAATGTTTTCTCAGTTCCGGTACAATCCACATTATCTAACCATATGGGACCGCTACCATCAGTAACATTAGATCTTGCTATAACAGTTGCCCCCTCAGACCCAAAACCTTAAAACGATTAATGAGAATACATTAAACCATTCCACATAGTATCATTGTGTAACTTGTTTTGACCGTATGGGTCAAAAAGGTCACATACCTAAATGTCTACACGCAACCTTAGCGTCATTCGTATCGAACGAATCGTCACACACAGTGCCCCATTGCCCATTATGTAACACTTCAAGTCTTCCCGATGTAAGACCACCAACCAAGCGAAGTCCTCCATTGCAACCAACACCAACATCTTTATTATGGTTGCAGTTCTCAACTCCCCAACCTCTGTGTCTACATTCAAACAATTTTCTCTCAGTTCCAGTACAACCCACATCATCTAACCATATGGGACCGCTACCATCAGGTATATCAGAAGATTGCAAGACAGTTGCCCCCTCAGACCCAAAACCTTAAAACGATTAATGAAAATACGATAAACCATTCCACATAGTATCATTGTGTAACTTGTTTTGACCGGTCAAAAAGGTCACATACCTAAATGTCTACACGCAACCTTAGCGTCATTCGTATCGAACGAATCGTCACACACAGTGCCCCATTGCCCATTATGTAACACTTCAAGTCTTCCCGATGTAAGACCACCAACCAAGCGAAGTCCTCCATTGCAACCAACACCAACATCTTTATTATGGTTGCAGTTCTCAACTCCCCAACCTCTGTGTCTACATTCAAACAATTTTCTCTCAGTTCCAGTACAACCCACATCATCTAACCATATGGGACCGCTACCATCAGGTATATCAGAAGATTGCAAGACAGTTGCCCCCTCAAAGTTCAAACCTAAAGTTGATTAATCATTGTACAATGTAATTATTTTCTGTTGAAACAATCTATAGTCAACGAGTCACATACCTGAATGTTTACACGCAACCTTAGCGTCATCAGTATAGAAATCATCGTCACATACAGTGTCCCAAGTAAACCATTCCAAAAATGTTATTGTTTAACTTGTTCTAGCATTACAAGTCAGAAATGTCACATACCCAAATGTCTACATGCAACCTTAGCATCATTTGTACCGAATCCATCGTTGCATACAGTGCCCCATCGACCATCATGGAACACTTCAAGTCTTCCCGATGTAACACCACCTTCCAAACGAAGTCCCTCTGAAAAAAGTTCATCCTCATACCGGTTCTACCAATTTTTTATACCAATTCTCATTATACAGAATAGGCTAGAAATGGACAAAATTCATTTGAAAGACAAGAAAGGTAAATTATGTATTATATTTAAACTATTTTAATGCCCAATATTTTTTGCGTATAGCATAATTTATTTATTTAGAAAGTCGTAACATACTGTATTGCTAGTACAGTAGTGGTTAGTAATATACAATACTGGATGATCAGGAGTTGGATATGGCAGAATACCTATTCGAGAAATAGGCGAGGCGTAATTGTTTTATTATGCACCTTTTCAATCAATCTTTTTGTGTGTGCTACGATGTACTTACATTTTTAGAACTTTTGATTTTTCTAAAAACTCGAACGACTTCCGTCTAGCTATAAACCAAACGAAAAAGCATTGTCTTGTCCCGCGATTTAATTTACATTTATTTGAGGCGTTTTTGCAGAATTATGCGTTGGTTTGAAAGATAAGGGTAATTATGATTGATTAAGTGCTTAAGTGCATATTTTCTCTTATTTGCTTTCAGTTTCTGATGTTAACTTTTAGTATGACTCGAGTTATTGAGAATAAATAAATCTCAAAGTGGGTAATGTTGCAAAAACAGTGAAAAAATATTGGTCAGTAACAAAGAATATTGGGAAATGTGTGATATGTGAAACTTTTTTTTTTAATTTCAAAAAATTGTTTTTGGAGGACTTTTTGTTCTTAAAATCGTGTATTTATTTAAAACTAAGTTTTAGAGGTCACACATACCTTTAAATAAACATTTGTTAAACAATTAAATTGTCCATTGATTGTTTATGACGTCACATGCATATATGCTGTTATATTTTTCAAATCTTGAAAAGACTAAGAGATATTAGTCAAAAGTCTCGATGGAATAGAAAATATACTCTGGAGTAAAGAATAAACTTGTTAAAAATATATACACCAGAGATGAACTTACATAGAACTGTTTACTTATATTTTGTGAATTGCGTTTAATAGAGTGTTGCTTGATGAGTTGTCATTTATTTATGACAAAATGCTTTATCTGTATCAGTTTGATACATAAATAAAGGGGAAATTAAAACTAGATTTCAATGACCCTGGCTTTGCATGTTCAAAGGGCCACATTCAAAGCTTTAAGGGGAACACTTGGAACGGACAAGCATCCCAAGGGTTAACTATCTGTCGGACACTGACCACTGGGGACACTGACCACTGGGGACACTTAAATATATTACACTGACCTGACTTATTAAAGGGACAAAGTGCTAAAATGAAGTCTCACTTTTGATCTTCATAGTATTTCCAATGGATAAATAAGTACCTGATCTTTCATTTGACTCCAAAAATAGCTCAAACAGACCACATCAGACTTGACACTGGATCATGAAAAAATATTTTTGATCTATCAGTTAATATTGGTCAAGTTTTTAGCAATGCCATAGAAAGATGGCATTGTTGTTTGCATTGATTATCCATTCATTTTTGATAGGATTTTCAAGCATACGCCATCTTTTAATCCAAGAGTTATTTAAAACATACATTTTTTGAAAAGTGGTAATTCACTTTTTTCAATGTCTGAACTTCAAATGCCGTTTTCTATGCGAATAATTTTTTTTTCACTTCAGTATTATCCCAAATTAAAGTTTTTATCAAATTTGATTGACTGTGTGAGTGACATGTCTCAAATAATATTTTGTCCTTTTTCCTTCAAAAATAGGCGCATTGCCTGTTTAACTTTACATCAGAATAAATAAACTCTCACCGAATTTTTTGAGCGTGTCTATGATGTCAGCTTTCCATGAAATGATATTTTCCATCAAGTTAGACTGCTCTCGCACATTTGCAGTGAGGTCAGAAACTTCCCTTTTAATGGTAACAATGTCTTCTTTCGTTTCACCTTCAACAAATATGTTTATTAATACACGTGTACTAGTAGCACGTCCTAGACCCATGTGAAAGCTAAATGGTTATCCAAGTGGGTTCGAATATAGAAGTATAAAAAGAAGTATTTACTTCATGTAGTAATGTTCTAAGACCATTTCGATAATAATGACGTATTGTACCCGAATGGCCCAAAGGCATTCCTGTTGTTAATTATGCATGCTAAGTCAGAAAAAAGGAGTGCAAACTGGGGTCAATGCACCATGGTGAGAGGCTTAAATGATCTGGCCACCTTAAATTTGTCTGTCTGTCTGCCTGTTTTTAATACCCTTGGACTGTGATTTGACCATTGGCGACCCATGATTAGGTAACCTTATGAGTCAAGGACATTCCAAGGTCAAAGGTCAATATCTGGGTATTTGGCGTTTAAAGACTACAGTCTTAAGTCATATTGTGACCCTTGGAGACCCATGATTAGGTGACCTGAGGTCAAGGTCAATCTTTATGGGTCAAGGGCATATCAATGTCAAGCATATCAAAGATCAATATCTCGGTATTTGACGTTTTCATGCATTTGAGGGTTGTTGTGATCCTAAGCGACCCATGCTTAGGTGACCTAAGGTCAAGGTCCTTGGGGCTCCTGTGACCCTTGGCGACCGATGATTTCATGACATAAGGTCTAGGTCAATAATTATGGGTCAAGGTCATCTCACGGTCAAATGTCAATATCTAGGTAATTGGCGTTTTAAGGACCTTGGAACTGCTGTTACTTTTGAAGTCTACATAAACGTAATTAGCACGATATATTTATTTTATTTGTTAACTTGAAAATGAAAAACTATTTATGTGATGTGTAACCCATGTTTTTTTAATTGTCTTTATTATAGGTGTTCCCAGGGTTGCAGTTATTGTCACGCCTATTTTGATTCATGATCTTCTTATTGTCAATAAAAGTTAAACATATGAACATACATAATGTACAGGCCCGACAGATTTTTAATTTTTTTGAATCACAATGCATTTTCCTGTTCACTTTTTATATGACACAATAATGCTGATCTGTCATGATATTTATGCCAATTTGAGTCATTATATACAGAGTGACACAAAAAATGACACCCAAATTTCGTTACATAACTTGTTGGTCTATAAACATACACATTTGTCATTTAGCACATTTAAAGTAGACATAATCACACTACCCTACCACGTGATCACGTTTAAAAGGGAAACAGGGTACAGCTTAGTTGCAAATGGAGGACGTGGGTTTAATTCCATATTTCTGAACGTAAAATACATTTTACAAATATTTCTAGTGTTCTACCAGACATAGAATTGATTCATCAAGGAGTGTGTAGAATATTGTTGGCAAAAAACCACTATAGGCAAAGATAGATAATAGTGGGCGCAGTGAAGCAAAACCAAATGCAATACACTATACATTTCAGTAAATCTATCAACGTACAGGGAGCATGTAAGTATCCCTTCGAAAATGTTACATTGATATGTAACAAAAAACCCAGTTAACTGTTGTTTAAACTGCGTGTCATCGTGTTATAGGTGGATACGTTTTCTAGTATGTTAGTCAACTGTATTTTTGTGAATTTGAACAAAACATTTTGAATGGTCGGGTTTTTAGGACGGTAGTGAATTAGACCATTCAAGGGGTTCTATAGAAAGATTCTTCATATGTAGTTCAGGCAATTTTAATTATTCTGAGTAGCAAATAGTCATTAATGCTGAAAGCGGATAGTCATTTATCATTAACGTGTTGATATTTAATTTCGTTATTTTATTTCAATTTGATACCCTAGTAACACGTATAATCTAGCGTTCTTGTTAATTTAATGACTAAAATGCATACGACTTGAAAGCCCGTGTCTAAATCTACAAAATAATGTTTACTTTATTTGGATTAAATAACAATTGATGACACCTCAAAGCATCAGGCGGCCTTTTTAGCATTACTTTCACTGTTTGCAACGTAAATGTACATGAGGTCGGGACATAGTATGTCTGTATAATCAGCTTACTTTCTCGCTCCCTGTACTATTGAACAATTTACATTCCTTGTACCCTGTATTGATCAACTTTTGCAGCTGTGTACCGTGTACTATGACATATCAAATATTTTAAAATTTAAAACGATATTATTTACATTATTTCTTCAACTATCATATAACTTGGAACATGGACTTCACTATTGCACCACTGAAGTGTAGCGAATAGCAATATTGACTCACTCCGAGCACCAAACGTATTAACCTTTTGACTAAGCAGTCGATATACTCAAAAGCGACATGTTTGAAAGCCAAAAGATTCGCGCATGCGTGATCGAGGTAGGGTAGTGTGATAATGCGTAATGTTCCATATGACGTACATTCCTTTGTAGGCGAATTTGAATTCTACAAGCAAAGTTGTTAATTACCCTTACACATTGAGATATGGCCCTGATCTTTCTTGTAATTTCTCTCTTTAAGTCAGCTATGTTTTGGGATGTTTTGTCTCATACACATGGTCCTTTAAATACTCCCAGAGGTAAGAATCTGGTGGGTTCATATCAGGGGAATGGGGTGCCCACTCAATCTCAGTTATGCGGCTAATAAGAAAGTCTCCAAAATTGAGAATATATTGTAACGCTCATGAAATTTAAACCACTTGAACTACATATCTGAAATTTCTCGAGTTGCTTACGCATTATGTCTACTTAAAGTGTACAAAAGTACAAGTCTATACGGTAATGTACAAATAATTATGCAAAGTAAGGTGGGTAACATTTTTGTGTCACCCTGTACAATGGGATAATAATATTTTCCCACTTATTCATGAAGTTCAAAGATATTTGTTTCTCAAGATCCAGACTGTGAATTACGAAATTTTTGAATCCAAAAAAGAAAGTTCCCATTGAAACCAATGCTAAATGAAGATTTTATTAGAAATAATCAAACGGTCAATAGTTCTTATTTTCACGTATTTTGTTATACACCAGTATTTCTTTCATCAAGATTTCTTCAAGAATTAAAGGGACATCCCTTGCCAGACCATTTCTCTTCTGTGTTAAGTAAAGTAAGTAAATCTTACTCATGGTGAATCTTTCTACATATACTTTCCATATTGAAATATCCTTTAGGATAAAATCTCACTTATAGTGAATTGTCGGGATTATTATGAACAGTTGACCTATCAAGCGTGGCCATTTCATTTGATCAATTTATTAGATGGTGAGAACGTTTAGGTTATAGCCATTCAAAGTAAAGTATCTTACATTTTACTTAACTTACCAATGTCACATTTTGCACCCTCAAATCCAGGAGCACACATACAAATGTAACCATTCACTCCATCCACACAGCTTCCACCATTTAAGCATGGCTTACTAGAGCACTCGTCTATATCTGTAATATATTAACAAATATTAATCGATGTTGACGGAAATATAAATATTAATATTATTGTAGAAAGTGATATAAGAATATATGGCAGAATCAGATCTAACAAGATCCTTAAGAGTACTCTTGACAAAAATACAATTTATTTTTCACTTTTAGAATATTTAGGGCTAATATCATTCCTCGGCATGTCTATTTTCAAATATTTCCCAAAGCGTATACTTATTTTTTAAAATAATGTCCCAATATGGTTACCATGTTTAGTATTTTGGAGAATTTACATTTCCCCCCGTTTTGCCATATAGAGTAGATTGCAATTACGGTATCATTTCTTCTGATTCCGGCCTCATTTCAAAATGGCCGCTTTTGTAGGATTTTGTATTAATTTCATGATCGAAAATGTTTGGTTAAAATATGCTGGACTGGTCGAACCTTCCTCAAAGCTGCGTTTGAAACCCATCTTTTTGGAGTAAAAATGACCAACAGTTCACAACCGCCTCTCTCTGTTTGAACCTCCACAGTAGATGAACCTTTGACAATCCTGACACGACAATTTAAAGTTCTTGGACAGTCGAGCAGCGTGTGTATATTTAGAAATATATAAGCACTCGTGTCAAAGGGAAAAAAGGTGCAGGGTGCTTCCTCTGGTGTGTCTGAGCGTTAACATCTGCAGCCTCTAGTCAGATCGACTAACAAAACAACCTTTTTTGGGGTTGTCGAGTTGGCCGAGAGGGCTTGAGCGCCAGCACGTTTAGGCTAGGCGATTGGGGCCGTAACGACGAGGTTGCGAGTTCGAGACGCGTGTGCTCCTTGCGTTTATTCATTGGTGAGAATGTATTTTTAATAGCAATTGAAATTACAATATATTACGTATTATGCATTATAATGGACTTACCAACATCACATTTCAAACCCCCATATCCGGCAGAACATGTGCATTGGTAACCATTTAATCTATCCACACAACTTCCGCCATTTGTGCATGGATTACTAGAGCACTCGTCTGAATCTGTAAGTATACGGGCGATGTTAACACGTGCTACCAGAATGGCTCGACATGCCATTAGAAGCCAAAAATACACATTATGTGCTAAATAATTAAGTCCTTTGATTTGAATCGTTTTTGACATGGTCTTATTTATTGCTTTAACAACAGAATGAATAAACTCTCATATCACCTATTATTTTGAGAGTGTCTATGATGTCAGCTTTCCATGAAATTATATTTTTCGTCAAGCTAGACTGTTCTCGTATAATTGCAGTGAGGTTAGAAACTTCCTTCCTAATCGTTACAATGTCATCTTTCGTTTCACCTTCAACAAATATGTGAATTATTAAACGTGCACTAGTATTTCGCGCTTGACCCATGTACAAGCTTAATTGGTTATCAAAGTGGTTCTGATTATACTAGGGATAAACTATGAGTATTGGGTTTTAGGATAAAAAATAGCTACGGCAGCTACGCCGAGGCTATTAATTCTCGCGAGACCCAATACGAATGGTTTATCTAACTTAAACCACAAACTGACTCATATGAAAGGTAAATGGTCCATGATCCACGTTTAGATAAAATTGATTTATTTTGAATTGACTATGAGGTAAGTGTATTGAGAAGTGATTGAGTGTAATTAGTTTAGCTTCATTGCACTGCATGTAAACGACTCAGAAACAGGCTAGATATAGTTTAAAATTTGATTCATTTTGTGTTAACTATTCAACTATTGAATGAGTGAATATTGTTATATGAAGGAAATAAGAAATGAATAAAAAATAGGGTATTATTAGTTCAGCTTTAGTGCACTGCATCTGACAGTCAATCGTCTTTTGTGCTACACTGGTTTTTGATACCTTGCCAAGTACACAATCCTTAAAACAATAGAAAAAGAATGCACTACTCTTTGTTACAGCTGTATATTCTTTATATTGTGTTGCGACCTAAGTGGGGTTCAAAGAAATATAATGTTTTAAGAAATATAATGTTCAAAGACATTCTAGTTAAATAGTAGCATGCCGTTCCATCTTATTAAATACATAATTAACTAGTGACAATTATTTATTTTATTTATACGTATTTTATTACGTAGCAGTTGATCCCCTTGGGCGAGATGAAATATAACTGCCATATCTGGCCATACACTATATGGATAGGAACTGTAATCAAAGTTCCATGATAAGCCGAATCAAACATCGTCAAACCATGATGTCAAGTTATGTTGTTTTTCAGAAGGCACTGACCTCAATTACCAGATATATTTTTGTGTGCCTTTTCAAGAATTAAAATAAAGGATGTATATATACGATACGGAGCTATCAACATCGAGGAACTTCAAGTAATGACGCCATTGGAGCTTATAACTGAAAGTAAAGCCAGCCATGTTTCTCTCTGCATAAACCCAAATGGGCAACAGTTATTGGTCAACACGTGTTACCTAATCAAATTGATGATTTCCGCAAAAAACATTGAATAAGGAGACAAGGCACAGAATATCAATTCTTTGAATTTCCAATTATTTAAATGTATTCAAAGTCTACATGTAAATCAACCATATATAAATTATGTGTTTGAAATTAAATACAACATCAATTCACTATCTAAAATATTACCTTGAAAAACGCCTCCAATGATCAGTCCAATGACAATGCATTCAACTAGCAAATTAACGATAAATGCACCAGCTATAATGATCTTCCACTTGCATTTTAGTAGAAATGGTTTCTCTTCTTGACGTTTTGGCAGGCTGTCATAGGTAGGATTCTTCTTATTTTCTTCCGGATTTCTCTCACCCAGAGTTGTATATTCATTGAAATCGCCAGTTTCAGTCTTACTAGCTTTTTGTGCAGGCTGGATTTCGTCCAAGTTGGCATAATAGTGGTCATCTATAGGGGTCTCCAGCTTTTCGGACATTTTCTTGCTGATGTGAATTGTATCAGGAAATCTGTAATATTCAGAGAAAAGAAATTGAATAGTATACAAATAGTGACTGCTATTGAGGGAAATAGTTCAAAACATTCAGGATATTCCCGAGGGACATTTTTACACTGTTTCCCGAAAATGTGGCAGTCACAAAATGAATTATGTGTTCCATTATTTTATGAGGAACTTGGTATTGATTTTATTTGACTATTATGAAATAAAACAATTTAGTTTTCATTGTCACTAATTGACGTAATCGGGCAGTACTATTTTTGGCGAGATTTTTGGAAGCTTTTGTGAAAAATTGTTTTTACTCAAAGTTATGTAGTCAAATAACAAGATCTGATTGACACCTTTCCTAAAGTTTTTGGTAGTGATTGGGAATAGGGGGGCAAAGTTATGATAGTCATAAGCTGCGGCCAATAAATATGTTGTTTGTACTTGTTTTTTTTACTGTAGAAAATGTAAAGTGAGCATTATTGCTATGTTTGGTAGATAATAAATGTCGCATATTGAATTGTCTTTCCAATATGCTTTATTTTATGAAAAACAAGACTCTACTGACTATCTTATGAATTTCTAAAGGTAAATCGCCAAATATTAACGAATCGAGTTCTCTTCACGAAGTTTAGAGAACATTTTTTTCAAAAACAAGCCGACTTAGTTTAACATGTTCCTGAATATTTGTACAAATTGTGGTAACATATTATGATGATGCACTTATCCTAATTTTAGATATAATTCTTTTATTCTCCCCACCCCCCAGTTTTTCAATTTATTAATATATCTGTAGCTAAGTGGTTGTCAAAGACAAAAACAAGTTGAACTTGAAATTGTTGATTATTCCTACAAGAAATATAGCTTTTTTAATTTGTATTTAAATAGAAAATCATTTAGTATCTCACCTTTTACAATGAAATAACTTTCAATCCGCCACTTGGGAAATGGGCAGTAGATAGCTTCCGTGTGTGTTTAGTACTCTGATTCAATAATTGTTATAAGGAAATGTTAGTTTATTAAAACGAAAGAGAATTTCTGTAAATCTGTAATAATTCTGGATTTGTCATCCGATCTTTTGTCATATTTAAATAGAGCAATGAATCTCAATGTTCTATTTTCTGTAGGCAATGCAAATTGGTTAAAGATGAAGCTCAACGTCAACATGTTTGTTTAAATAGATTTTGAGGAAACATTCTGTCTTGATTTTGTGTAACACATACATTTTACTACACAGCAAACATGCCTCAATGTTGATTTAACATAAAATTCTACTTTGATTTTCTCTATACAACTTTTTTCATACTGAATGATATCTATAGCCTATTTCCTTCTTCCTCATTGACAATGGGATATTTGAAAGACTAACAATAATTTATTTGGTTTAGATCCCAAAAAGTGAATGGAAATCAGAAACAGCCATAATAATTTAATAACTATTTTATTGTACACTTTTTTAAAGTGAGTATATGTGATATTGAGTATTTTGAAGTCTTACTTGTTACGATGGTATGTAGAGTATATCGAACATTTTTAGCATTTATTTGTTTTGCATTCTGTTTATTACATCAGTATATTCATTTTCTAGGAGGTTATTATTTTGTGAACCAATTTATTATATAGATACACACATATATATATATATACCGGATGGGTATAAATAGTGGCCGTACTTCGGCACCTGATATTTCCATAACCCTTCACAATTACTTCTAAAAATTTGCACACGTAAAACCAGTTATCTCGCCAAAGTAAAAATGAAATTTCTAGTAATGGGATCAAAATCAAAAACACGAGTCAAAACGCTTATTCCGGTGTAACGAAATTTCAAAATTTTTGAAATTAGTCTAGTGATAAGTGGTTCGATGTGGAGCCAGTTCACCCCTTAGTACCAACAAAAAATTCTAAAAAGCAAGCCAAATGTCCCGTTTAAGAACCCCTATTTAACTTTCGAAAATAGATTCTTGAGATGCTATCTAACATGAATCTACTTGTTGAGACTCGGTCAACTTGAGTTTTTCCGTGAACATGAGGATTTCAACAAGGCTGCCATAAACTTAACATGGGGACATACACCACTGACCATTGACTTAGCGTGGGGATACAATCATGTATGACACAATGTAAAGTCAATGACAGCCTTGCTGGAATCCTCATTTTCTCAGAAGAACTCAAGTTGATCGAATCTCAACAAGTAGATTCATGTTGGATAGTATATCAAGAATCCATTTTCGAAAGTTTAAATAGGGGTTCTTAAACGGGACATTGGACTTGCTTTTTAGAATTTTTTTGTTGGATAGTATTGCTAGAATCAATTGTCGTTAGAATAGGGGTTTTTAAGGTGGAACTGGAGTTAATAAATTAGCAAAAAAGAAATTACTCGAAAAAGTACCATGATATTTCAAGCTGTTTTTCTTGGCGACGGATGTACTCCGCCATGAGTTGAAACATATATCAAATTTAAAATGAGCACCACATGTATACGTATATTACACAACCATAAATTTTAAGTGCTATGGTCCCTAGAGACAGCATTTGGACCATAAAGTGAGAGTGATTCTGGTAAACTTCAAAGAATACTTCTAGCACCGGAACACATTTGAAAGTTTTGAAAATTTCGGTAAATCATCTTACCAGGAAACACCAAACAACTTGAAAATGTGCATTAGTTGTGTTGATATTGAGATAGGAGGTTCAAACCACATGTCATCAATTTATTTCTTGTCATCCATCTTTTTTTCTTGCACTACTTGTTTTGACAGTCCAGGGAAATATTTCTCAGATTGATATATGAGACAAATAGATATGACAATACAATATACTTGTATTTGTTATCATCCATTATATCTGTTGATTTATTTTATTGTTAGAAATTGCAAATTTATCATTATTAAAGCTATACTGTGTATCTAATATTCTCAGGAATTCACCTGTGAAATTATTTTGTTTTGACACGTGATTTTACATTTTTACTTTAGCTTATTGGCCCGAAATGAAGTTATTCATAAAGATCGAAGAAGGAATAAGTGTTTTGACGAACTAATAAATGCACAAATCATCGTTTACTCACCGAAAATGGATAAAAACTGCGTACATTTGTTTCAAAGTTTTGTTCCGGAAGTAGCCTATTCACGATCGTAACCTTGAAAACGCTACATCCGCTAAATGAGATCTTGTATTTTAAACAAAATGAGATCGTAATTACATATTTAGCCATTTTTGGCTTTTATTTTCTTGAATAAGTTATAAAAAATCATCTTATTGAAAATTTGTTACGTTTATCTGTTTTACTTATCATCCGAAGTCAGAATCATCACTCTCCGGTGATAATATATTCATCCGCCATTTCCTGTTATAGCCGTTAGATTATGTGAAAGAATATCATCAAAATGTAACCAAAATACTCAAAATCGGAGACAACTTTGAGATGTTGCATCTTATATAGAGGTTAGTGTTTAATAAAATCGCCTGATCTTATGCGACCAGAGGGATTTCACTTTGCAAAAGCAATTGAAAGTTTTCGTTTCAAATCAAAAAAAAAATTGTCGATAAATCGACGATAATAAAATCTCAGATATCATGCCACAAAATTAAACTTTCATTTATTCATAAACTACTATTTAAATTATGATTTCTCGAATCGTTTGTCGTTCCTGACATATCTTTAGATCATTATAGTGTATCGGTTATTCATTTCTAATATGTTTGTTCTCGGTAGTATTCCTGGAAAGGGACAGTGACAATTTGATAGCTGTTTCTTTTATTGCTGATATCACACTCATGTGGTAATCCTTGGGTAAAGTCTTACTCAAAATGTTATCTTCACATGTTGATTCAAATTATCTGTAACATTTTCGCTTGAAACGTTGTGCTTTATCCTCAGATTCCTATCTCAAAATGAGTCACATTTTATCTTGTTTTTTTATTTCACATCTCCATATTTTTTTCAAATTTCAGTTAAGGTATGCGTTACCTTTAACGGGACATAACAGCTTATCTAAGGCCTTTTTCAGATTTTGTTTAGTACTACCTATGTTATAGAGAAAGCATGAGTGAGAGTTGATTCTTTGAAAATAACGGTGAGGCGTTATCGGACACTCAAATCGGAAGCAATTATTCTTTCCTATCATTTTCAAGCAGTACTATACAGGGTGTTATCTGTATTAAAACAGCCTGATTTGTACAGATCGCATTGCTTTACTGCTTTACTGCTGAACTAAAATATGCCTAGAAATTGGATAAAATGATAAAAAAACATTGTACGTCTTACAGAAAACGTTATATAAACTATTGATTCACGGGGCATGTATATATGTATATACATGTAAGCAATGCTAAACTGTCTGTCAATACAGTGTGCTGTCGACAAAAGGATGGATATTGAGTTATAAAAAGAGGAAGTTGAGGATAGATACTCCAAGGAAACTCTTCTAGAATTCCTTAAAAAGGTTTTATGAGGATTGCAAAATGCCAAATCCCTATTTGAAGCACGTTTAAGGTCATACATTGAAAACATTGCTGCCGTTAACATGGCTTAGGGAGACACACTGACTATTATTTTGGTATAAAACTAACTTTGATTTTGGCCGAACACTAAATTTTGAAATGTCTGTAACTTTTTCCCATTTGTGAGTTGAATCGTGATACTTGGCAGATCAATGTTACTTTGGATATGCTTTAAAATGATATATGCCACATATTTTGGAGATATTGGTTCCAATTGCATATGCTGGGGACAAATGAAAGAAATTCGCGAGATTACCACTATTAATCGAGACTTGTTTTTTTAGGTGGGATTTGCTACTAACAATTTAAGTTTTAGTTCTACTCTTTTCTATATACGGTGTATTTAACAACTATGCTGAAAAACACTTGATATAATTTAGAAGTCTCTGCCAAAATAGTACTGGTATACTAAAGTGAAGAAGCGAAGTCGATTTGAGAGCGAGCAAGAAGAGAGTTTTAATGGTTGAGTCTCCCTGTTTATCCAGTTACCAAAAGTTACAAGTTACACAGGAAACTAACAAGTTACACACGTTACAGGTTACTTAGGCTTTTAACAAGCTAAACTAACTTTGATTTTGGCCGAACACTAAATTTTGAAATGTCTGTAACTTTTTCCCATTTGTGAGTTGAATCGTGATACTTGGCAGATCAATGTAACTTTGGATATGCTTTAAAATGATATATGCCACATACTTTGGAGATATTGGTTCCAATTGCATATGCTGGGGACAAATGAAAGAAATTCGCGAGATTACCACTATTAATCGAGACTTGTTTTTTTAGGTGGGGTTTGCTACTAACAATTTAAGTTTTAGTTCTACTCTTTTCTATATACGGTGTATTTAACAACTATGCTGAAAAACACTTGATATAATTTAGAAGTCTCTGCCAAAATAGTACTGGTATACTAAAGTGAAGAAGCGAAGTCGATTTGAGAGCGAGCAAGAAGAGAGTTTTAATGGTTGAATCTCCCTATTTATCCAGTTACCAAAAGTTACAAGTTACACAGGAAACTAACAAGTTACACACGTAACAGGTTACTTAGGCTTTTTACAAGCTACACACAATACAAGTTACTTAGGCTATTTACAGGTTACAAAGGTTACAAGTTATACAGGCTAAAGTTACACTGGTTACAAGTTATACAGGTTATTTACAAGTTAGTTAGTTAGTTAGTTAGTTAGTTAGTTAGTTAGTTAGTTAGTTAGTAGATTACACCTGTAAAATCTGTAAAGGTTGGTCAATCATATACACGCACGTAATTTTACGTCTATACGGGCATAAGTAACGCCTTCACACCCGTAAACAACGCCTGCATTCTGTGGACTAGTAGGCCAACTATATATTAGTTCTAGCGACGTTGTGTATTAATGTTGAACCATCCTTGAGATAACATACTCCGGGCGGTCAAGTTACACTACGACTTCAGACATGGATTCTCTCTCTATTGTATCAAAACTACAAGGTTATGGTCTTGTAGTGTCACATTTTGGTACCAGTGTCCATATCTGCAAAGCGCCTTTGCACGCCGCTTCAAAGCGCCATCAAAACGCTGTTGGTGTGAACTTAGCTGAATGCAAATGCTATGACCATGATGACGACCAAGGCTACAACTCCACTTACTGTTGATTCGCAATCGAAAGTGCTCAGTTGAACAGAAGTAGACCTTGGTAACGTAGTACTCATGCAGCACCTTCAAAACCTTGTTGGGCAGCTGAAAAAAGTTCTCGTTATTAAATAATATATGTAATATATCAGAACATGTTCATTTCGAGCTGAAGCATTTGACTTTAAAAATAAATAATCAGTTTCGTTGGCTTTTCAAATCGAATCAAAAAATAGTTTTTAAGGTGCAGTGTTACTTAACAGGAAATGACAAAACAGGAAGTGACAAAAATGTGGCATTTTTAGACATTTTTTGAACAAAGATAAAAGAGTTCTGTTTTGATCTCCTGTCAATTTAAATGGTTGCATATATCATTTACAGGACCAGGATCACAATGTCCATGGTCAAAATGACCTTAAACATGATGAAATAACCTTTTTCAGCCAGCTGAAAATGTGATTGAATAATAGCTAAATGTAGCCCCTCGGGAAAGGTCACTGAACAGAATCTTTTGATTTTTTCAGAAAATGTACCCAATATATTGCTCTAACTGATACAATCTTCAAAATTTTAGAAAATTGTCTGAAACATAAATGGCGGTCATCAAAAGGAAAATAGATCGTCTTTCAGTTCAGTTTTTTTTTCATTTTTATTTTTCTATGAATGATATCACATTTTCAAAGATTGTGTTATTTAGAGCGATATATTGAGCACATTTTTAGAAAAAATCAAAAGATTCTGTTCAGTGACCTTTCCTAAGCTCCTACTTTTAGCTATTTTCCAGTCACATTTTCAGAGGGCTGAAAAAGTTTTTTCATCAAGTACCATGTACATTGTGATCCTTGTCCTGTAAATGATATGTGGAACTATTTGAACTGACTGGAGATCAAAAATGCTAAAAATGCCAAATTTTGTCACTTCCTGTTTTGTCATTTCCTGTTAAGGACCACTGCTTCTTATTGTTGTTATATCTCAAATGCCATATAAAAGTCTGACTGGTAATAGAACTGGCCCTATCTGGCCGTGGCTCCGTGGCTATTAATTAAACATAAAAACTAATTATCATACTTTAACCATAACATAACACAGCAACACACGATGTTTGGTGATTTAGGCCGTTTAAAGGCCAAACAATATTATTATTGGTTTAACATGTTTAGTATATTTGTGATGAACAATTTTTCTGTGCTCTTTCCACCAATCTCTAGACCAGAACGCCTTACTCTAAATGATATATACCATTCATTGCAGGTATGTGATATTGTGATTTCGACTGTAGACTCATGGGTGATTTCGACTGTAGACTCATGGGGTCTTTTGAATAATTCGGTACAGAAAGTGATGTATCACGGTGTAATATTTGATTCCAGAATACAACTTGAATCTTATCATTAGTACATTAATAACAGAAAACTACAAGTGTGGTTAGTGACACACATTTAAGTTTTGATTAAGTAGAAATTAATAAAAGACGTTTAAAAAAATGAAGACACAGAAGCTACCAAACATAACATACTAACCAAACTAGACTAGAAAAGACTACACTAGACTTAGTACTAACCCAAAAATGTCAAAAAGGCCTTAGTTAAGCTTCAATGACCTGTTTAAGAACCCATATTGTTGCTATTGAAAATGCTTTCTAGCAATACTATCCCAAATGAATGTACGTGTTGAGATTCGACCAACTTGGTACTTTGCAAGCATAGTCCTTAGTTAAGAATTGAAATCAGCTCATCCAGAAAATGCTAGCCCTTAAAGATGTGCAAATCCTGGATTTGTCGAACGATTCTTCATTAAGTATGCTAGATGATTTGAAATATGCACTGCATCTTCGGGTAATTCACTGCTACAGTTAAGCGATGACTACAGTTCTATCTAAAGCTAAGGCTAAGCTATATCTCCAATTCGGTGCATTCAAGATATCATACTTCACAGTTCAGGTAGTATATTAATAAAAATCACTCTCTCTCTTATAAAACTAGAACAAACCTCCAAATCCAAAGTTGAGAATCACACAATAGTAACTGCTAGGTGTGTTCATACACAGAGAGGTCTCCTCGCACGCCCTGAATTTGGCATTGATTTATGTCTGCAATGGGGTACACATGTGAACACTTATCAGTAAAGGGAGACACTATACATTGCTACAAACCCCGCGCTTTTCCCTAAAATCTGCTTGAAGGATGTACTCGATAATGTGATTTAGCAAGAACATTATAAGCGCATTTTTTGGATTGCATCAGAATTTCCAATCGTCACCCTTGTTAGCATGTTTCACACATGGAACGATACATGCATTATCACCTGAACAAAAACAACCCCTTTGGAATCAAACATATTATTAAGTGAAGCTACATGTGTCATGCGTGTTTAAACACAATTCTGGATCCTCACAAACATACTCAGTTTGTCATTCAGTTATGTCTGTGTAGAAACAAACATATAACATACTAGTTAATAAACACACAATTTCATTATGTGACACTAAATTTGGGATTTTGAGGTGTGTCCTGGTTCCTTAAAATAAAAGCAAACAACGTAATATATTATCTAAAACGTTTAAACAATCTCACGACATCGTAAAGACAGATTTTTTTTGGCTTTTGTGTTTTTAAAAAAATCTAAAAGTTAGTGGCATAGTGTCTCAAACATCAATTTTGCAACCAGGTGAACGTGTCTAAACGAGAGCATAGAAGGGTGCACAAGGTTGAGGTAAAAAGAAGAGGTGAGCAATAGAGGAGATGAGGTGGACACAGTAGGGCGGTGATTTCAAATAGAATGGGTACCATCTTGTTCAATGCTAACAAATGTTTGTGCTATGCATGCATGACTGCCATTTGTGTTGACGCAGGTTTCATCCGCCCCGCAGTTATCTGGGTTGCGGGCGCATTCATCAATGTCTGAAATAACCAAACAACTTAGAGCAAAAAACAAAAACAGACCATAGTTTCACAAAAGCCTAGAAACCTTGTTGAAATGCAGTAAAAAGGATATATTGATTGTTGTGTACGTAAAATGTCAATACAGGGTGTTCCATATGTTTCAGGAATGATGCTCTATTTTATTGGTTTTCTTTTCAATCTAGCTAATCTTTTGCCAAAATGTGTCCAAATATGTTGTGAATAAGTTGGAAAAGTTTCATATCATGAAACTTAGTAGACTGAATAATATGGTTGCTATAGTGACCTAGGGGTAGGGTAGGTGGAGCAGGTGTAACAACACGCAAAACATGACATTTTTGTAAAAATTGTAGTTTTTGTATAAAGTGTTCAAAGTGTTAATTTGTCATAGTCACATCAAACTTGTTGGAAATTAAAAAAATAGAGATGGATTCCTGGAAATTAAAAATATTATCGCACCCTTTATTGGCCATAATCATTATTTCAGCATCTATCCCCTTTGCATTAGTTAGCGCTCTCACTGTTCTCGGATGCCCACATTTTGGATTATCAGTCTCAGTTTCCCTTCCAGATTTTAACCGATTGTACCACTCATACACTCTAGATGTTACCCTCATTGAGTCCCCATGTGCAAAGGTTTCCTTTGCTAATGACTTTTTCACTTTTCAAGATGGCCGCTCGTCCAAAATGACCTGTGTTTATTCTCCTTTGTGACTCATGACATGACAGGTGTTTAAATTGTGATGTGATCAAAAGTGATGACATTATTTTACTTTCTTGGAATCTACCTTCATTTTTGCTTAATTACTGACAAGTTTGATCCAACTCTGACAACCTAATACTTAATCACGCTTCGTACAAAAAAAACTATTTTTATAAATATTTCATATATTTTGCGCGTTGTTACACCTGTTCCACCTACCCTTCCCCTAGGTTACTATAGCAACCATATAATTAAGACTACTGAACTTCACAATATGAAACTTTACCAACTTATTCTTAACATGTTTTAAAAGATTGTGTCAAAAATTCAGTTAGATTGAAAAGAAAACCAATGGAACACCCTGCACAACGCCCAATTACTTAATTTCTTATTTAATTAATATTTCTTATATGTCTAAACATTTGGTTCAAGGCAACAGTGTATCGGACACATACATTTAATGTGTCAGTTCCAGTTACACTTATGATACGAGTGAAATACAGAAAATATTTTGCCCGAGAAAGAGGAATTTCACGAGGCACTTCTAGCATGTCCTGATACTTAAAATACTTATTTATAGCCCGATTTCGTAGCAAAATACAAAGATAAGCACGCGTGTGCGTAAACAAATGACCATTGATTTTTTCAGTCTCAGTCAGATCCTAGATGGGCGTTGTATTTGGCATTTTATGTCTGTTATTGGGGACACGTGTGAAAAACATCAGTAAAGAGAGACCAATGAGGATTGGCTCCCAGGATCGAGCCTCGATATTTTTCAACATTGGAAACGTAAAAATGTCGTTATTTTCTGAAATTATAAGCGACTGCAAATTCAAAAACAGTCCAAAAGATTCAGAACAATATCTTGATCATTTCTTGCGAGTTTCGGATTTTTTGTTCGGAAATAAGACCAAATTCACGATTCAAATGTTGAATTGAACAAAATGACGGATGTTTGAATTCGAATTTTGTAATCAGGACATGCCATATATAGTAAAAATATATGTGTTGCACTCTGGGAGCCAATCTTACGTATATTTTATCAAACTTTGTCTACCAATTATCTACCGATCATCTACTGAACTAGAATATCACATTTTGTCTAAAATATTTCACTTTAAAATCTGATGTCCATATATGTACAGCAAACGTAGAGAAAGTAAAATTGTTATGATAATAGTAATCTCATGTGGACGTACCTACACATTCATGTTCATCTTCTGAGAGTTCGAAACCAACCCTGCATGAACATACATAACTGCCTACTGTGTCATTACAGAAATGCTGACAGCGGCCATTTTGATACAAGCATTCATCAAAGTCTAAAATAAAGAACACGCATAAATACTATTTATGAGGTAAATATCAAGTAAATAAATAAATTGGCAAATAAAATCTCAACTTTCGAGACTGTTAAGATGTCTTAGATTGAGTCAATATGTCATTGGCTTCGAATGCACTTATAGTTATTTAAACATAATCTTCCTTTATTTGTAGAATAGCTTCTTTTGCCAATTTAAGTCATTACTAACTAGTGCTTGGTAAGTGTGAGGTCATAAATGAAGGAGTGATACGAATGTTGATAAAATGTTTTAATTAGTCATTTAAGAAAGGAGCGAAGATGATTACTTGTACAACTGGTTCCATTTAATGGTATCACGTCATCCGAAAGTTGTGATTGACAGAAACACTCATCAACAAATCCGCGAGCTCTATACACTTTGCTGCAGAATTGTGTGTCAGCTAGAAATCAAAACAAACATTTTTCGTAGAAAAATAACATGCATGTTAGCATAACACAGGCTAATTAATGATTCAATATCCAATAATTAATTAAGTATACTCAGACTATTTTTCAAAATAATCCGAAAAATAAAATACGAATAATATCAAAAAATTCAAGAACGAAGGATCGGTTGTCAACATTAATTTATTTTCTTGTAAATGCCTCTTTGGGAGTACTTACCGACACAATTGCCTTCATTTATTGTTTCAATTTGGTATCCTGGTATGCAGTCACAATAGTAAGAGAAGAATGTGTTTACACAAAGTTGTGAACATCCACCATTGTTAACAAGACACTCATCGACATCATCAGGACCAACTGGACCAGTTGAACCTGTTGGACCGGAAGGGCCACTATGTCCAGTTGCTCCTGTATGACCAGAAGGTCCAGTAGCACCAGTACCTCCAGTAGGACCAGCAGGTCCAGTTGCTCCTGTAGATCCAGTTGGAGCAGTTGGACCAGTTGCTCCCGTTGATCCTTCAGGTCCTGTAGGGCCAGTTGATCCTGTAGGTCCGTAAGGTCCAGTGGGACCAGTGGCCCCAGTTCCTCCTGTAGGACCGGAAGGGCCATTTTGTCCAGTTGCGCCTGTAGGACCAGAAGGTCCAGTAGCACCAGTACGTCCAGTAAGACCGGTAGGACCAATAGGTCCAGTAGCACCGGTACTTCCAGGAGAACCAGTAGGTCCAGTTGCTCCAGTTTGTCCTTTATAACCAGATGGTCCAGTTGCTCCAGGTTGTCCTGTAAGACCAGTTTGTCCAGTCGCTCCAGTTGGTCCTGTAGGACCAGAAGGTCCAGTTGCTCCTGTAGGACCATTGGGAACAGTTGATCCGGTTGATCCTGTCGATCCAGTTGGACCTTTTGAACCCGTAGCTCCTGTTGATTCTTCAGGTCCATTCTGGTCATTTGATCCTGTAGGAGATAGCACGATATCATTTATATCACTCCGTATTTGTAGCTTTGTTTACATTAATACGGAATAAAACATACCTTTTTATGAAAAATGGTGATTGAGATTATGTTTCACAGCAAGTTCGCAGGGCAATTCTATATAGCACATACTCAGGGGAATTGACTCTACTTTCTATACACACCAAATGCATCTCTGTCGATGGAAGAATAAAAAAAGCCTTATGTATTGTATTGGAAATCCTATGTTTCAATACAATACATCCACAGTAACTTGTCACACATCTCACCATGTGTCGTTGTAACTGTTATGTATTTGAATTTCAGATTCTGTTGTCATTGATGATATAGTCAGACATGAAAAACGGTGTATTGTGGCGATTCAAAAGCTTAATTGATCAACATTTGGATTTCATATAATACACCATCAAAAGAGCTGAATATCTGCACAGGATTAGCAACAATTAGGTTCCATGAATTGAGAACCAAGTGATCAAAAACTTGATGCGACGGTTATGTCCGCCATTTGCGAGAACTGTATCTGACTAGTCACAGCATTTATCTATTCCACATACATTATGTGTTTGTCATTCAAACCACAAGGGGCCTTGCATTGTGGTCAAGTAAAGGGAAATTTTCATTAATTTTCAGATCACATCACAGAGAATTTAGAGTATGTTGCCAATATTGTATCATTTTTTGATTACGCCCGTGGAAAATTCAAAATTGCCGGTATTGTGTTTTTTGTAATAATTTCGCGTAATGACAGTTCTATTGAGACCATTTTCACTAAGATTAACAACACACAGGATATCTAAATCTAGAAAGGACTTCCGGGGGACCACAATTATTTTTACACCGGTCTGACTTTACAGCAGCATTAATAAACTCTCACCTAATATTTTGAGAGTGTCTATGATGTCAGCTTTCCATAAAGTGATGTTTTCTTTCAAGCTAGATAACTCTGTACCGAGGGTAGAAACTTCCTTTCTGAAGTTAGCAATGTCTTCTTTCGTTTCACCTTCAACAAAAATCTCAATTATTATAGTGTCTGAAAACTCAATATAAACGATTCGTTCGAAAAGTTTTTTTCTGAGAGCATTTCAAGATAAGCTATTTTATAGTACTAACCCGTTTATATGCACTTATGGAATTTTAGAACCGTTCGCAATGTACTTCGGGAGATATTTGTGGTAGATGGTTCATATGGCATCAGTAAGTTGAATAATGTGAATGCCTTGATATGCTAAAATTGTTTGGTCAGTCTTTGTTATCTCAACTGTTTGTCTGGTAATGTTATAACGAGTGTATATTCTATTAAAATACAAAGTACAAATTACAGTCTTCCTTTGCAGCGAAACATAACTTGTGGCATTCTGTCATTGCTTTCATCACTACTACAGCTACACTCAATACATCTGTTCTTCTCTAATTCAATCTTGTAATACTAAGTAATGTCTAGTGTATTACTGTTTTTCTTTTCTTTATCGTGTATTCTGTCAATATTTTCTGCTTTCACTTTATTATAGCCTCGTTCTGAGCCATGTGTTCCACAATTTCTTAAATTCATATATTGAGAAGTTTGATAACGTCATCAAATTAGGTGATTTGTTCAAGGGTCATTTGGAGTCATTATTTGACATTACCAAATAAGACAATATGGAAAATACGTATACAAGACACACTATTGCCTTGCCATGAAAGCAACACGACATATCATTTAAGTTAAAGTTTCTTAAGAAAATTAAGCCTTGTTTAGTGATATTATCCTTTATGCGTGTATGTTACTTGTTTTCCTTTTTATAAAATGATATGGATCATAGAGTCATCACCTGAGTTGCCCAACAACCATAAATTGTTAAGTAATACGAAATCTAAACAAAGTATGAGAATACGGCTGGGTATATACCTAAAAACTATGATAAAGATTGGTTTACTATTTTTATATAGACACTTGAGCAACAATTTCTGAACAAAATTAAAATATACCATATTCGAAGTAAATCTTTTTCAAATGCAGAATAATATACGCTAACCTAATTTTTTGAGGGTGTCCATGACGCCAGCTTTCCATATCATTATGTTTTCTGTCACATTAGATTGCTCTCTGATAATTGCTGAGAGGATGGAAACTTCCATGCTTATAGAAGTAATGTCTTCCTTTGTTCCACCTTCAACAAAGATGTCATTTACTAAAGTATCCGGAGTATCAACCGTAAATATTTTGGAAATGGTTCAATATTATGGGCACACGACTTAAAACGTGGGGATCGGTTACATTTGCTCGTTAGATCGTTCATATAGCTATTTGAAATACAGCATCACATATTCTATTTTTATTTCTTTATTTCTAATTGATTCAATTACATTAAGAGGATTACATGAAAAGGATTCTATTGGACTTACCAATATCACAATTTGCACCCCAATATCCAGGGGCACATGTACAATGGTAACCATCAAATCTGTCCACACAGCTTCCGCCATTTTGACATGGATTACTTGAGCACTCGTCTATGTCTGTAAGTACAAAGGTGGTGTTAACACATGGAGGCCAGACACCGAATTCGCGCTTTATTTGCTAAACAGGTCCTAATATTTGAATAAATTTTAATGCGATGATAAATGACTAAACAGCAGAATGAAACTCTCACCTAACACTTTTAGGGTTTCCTTGATGTCGGCTTTCCATAAATTGATATTTTCTGTCAAGTCAGATAGCTCCTTTTCAATGGTAGCAATGTGTTCTTCCGTTTCACCTTTAACAAAGATTTTTAATTTATTAAAGATGTCAAAAATTTACCTTGACAAATTAGATTTATTAAGATGAAACTGTCAGCCTCAAACATATGTGTTTTGAAGGTATATGTTACCATGACAGTTCGACGTAGCCTGGTAATTACTTCTGGCGCAAATCTAAAGATTGTTGTCGGAAACTATTTGCAACAATATGATATAGTTGATCAGGTGGCTAATCTGACATCACTAGCCTCGATCACCCAGAGACTAGCATAATGACCTACCTGATCAATGTAATGGCTTTTTTAAAACAGAAAAGTATAACAAAGGCAGCAAAGATAATTACAATGAAAGGAGAGCTGCAGACAGAATTATTCATTACCAATACAAAGAATTGCAGGAACTACATGATTGTGTTATACCGAATATCGAGAACTCAAAATGTTTAAACAATAATCGAATTGTTTCACTTTACAACATTATAGAGACACTTTAAAATGAAAATGTCTTCAAAGTCTACATTTAAAGTCAGATTCGTAATTCCATTGAGTACTTTGAATCTAAAAATAAGCAACCAAAGAACCACATTGAAACAGTACATGAAAAAATAGAAGCATTTCTACATGGCCTAAATTTTATATAATTTGGTTTGTTTTGTAACTTTGCTATCATTCGTGTGGCCTCTTATATTTTGATGCTTCTTTGCCATGTAATTTTGGGAAAAAATAACATGGCTGAAACTCCCTAAATTACAAAAGGCCACAACTTAGCTGCACATGATACATAGTCATACATAGCTGAAATATACAATAGTTGGATCGTGTACATAATGTTTCTATTGTTTAGTAAATGTTGGAATATTTAATTGCTTGTTTTTTTAATTCAAAAAGTACTCAATAGAATTTTGAATCGGACTGCACATTTAAATCAACTATGGAATGATGTGTTTGAAATTAAATCTAACCCATTTCACCAATCTAAACGTTTTACCTTGAAAAACGCCACCAACTACAAGTCCAATGACAACACATAGAGCCATCAGGACAATAACTACACATACTATGATGATTTTCCACTTGAAAAATGATTTCTCATGATCATTTTGTTGTATTGTTAGCTTTTCGTAGGCAGGATTATAAATTTCTTCTGGTTTGCTCTCTCCCAAAGTTGCATAAACATCCATGTTGATATCGCTAGCTTCAGTCTCAATAGCATTTTGATTTGGCCGGACTTCTTCCAAGTTGATTTCAGTGTAGTCATCCGTATTAGGGGTTGATGGAAGAGGTGTGTTCGGATTTATAGACATTGTCTGGCTGCTATGTACCGTCTGGATATCGTTATTATTAATTAACTTTAAAGCACCATCAAAGCGCCGTTTGTGTTAACTTAGCTTAAACAAAAATGATCACGAATCATTTCATTTTAGATTAATTTTTGGATGGTCTATACACTCAATTGGTATAGCATTTGGTCTCAAACGATGTGGGACTGAAACACATTCAGGACAGTAAGGGAGATATATCGTACCGAATTTGTAACAATTAATTTTAGATAGGGTTGAAAATACATGTATATATACCACAGTATCGAAATAAAAAGATGCAAGTAGGACTTCAATAAAATATAGTTAAAAATCTCACCTGTTACAATCAGAAATAATCTCGAATACGTGCAGTATAAAATAACTTCATGTGTTCAGTTCCTCTGGTATATAAACAACTTCTCCAAGCTATATAAGTCCAATCCACATGTACAGGGTGACAAAACGATTTCAATTAACCTAAAAACATAGCTTTCGGAAATAAACGTCAAAAGTACACAAACAGACCAAAACCTAAATCTAAGTACATTTTCCTCAGATAAAGCTAATTTTTATTCCATTGTTTTATTATTGATTATTATCCATTACATATTAAAGAGTCAAAGACACAGTTTAAAAGATACATTTTTGAGTCAAAATGGAGGAGCAATACTGGTAAAAACTGAACAGCAAAGGCGAAGTAAGATCTATTCACTCCTTATATGGTCAACAAAGTCTGGTTCTTCCTCAAAACTAAGAATCAAAAGTCTTCTGAGTTCGGACTTAAATTAGTGTAGCATATCATAGCACTGGTTTCGATATCTCTCCTCTCAGTGTGAATTTTATTTGTAGAATAAAACTGCGATGGGAAACATATTTCATCTTGGTTGATGTGTAAAATGATTAGAAATGGAAAAAATCATAAAATACCAGCTTTTCTGCTAATTTAAATACTTGGAATGTTACCGCTTTTCTGTTAGGATCACCCTGTATATGTATTGCTAGAGTTCTTGATAAGGGAATAAAAGAATATTCTTTTCAGGTAATTTGAAAGGATAAAATTGAATGTTTTCAATTGGAGATGTTTATTGATGCCTTGCTCCGCTAGTAATATTGCATCTTTTTAACTTCCTTGTTTGTTGCTATTTATATATTCCAAAATACACATAGTAGTCAAATAATGTGTTTTGAATTGAGCAATAATGACTATTTCAAAGCATAAATAATTTCAATAGAGTCAAATCAGCTGATATCAAGTAGCACTTTTGGGCTATTGAAAAATAAGTGATATAAAGAGATATGCTTAGCTCATGCCATTTAATTTAAATGTTCACATAATAGAAACGTTTAACACATATAAGCTAAGCTTCGTGAATGCAACTTTCTGCTGTCGGCTATCGGATTAACCTACTATTTTATAACCAACTATGGAATGAATATTTCATATTTAACTTAATTGCCCATAAACGTGTAGTTTAAACCGAGAGCCCACAGCCGAAATTATAATATTTATCATTATAAACGATTACCTAGGTTCACATCAATATACATTTCTTACCAATTGCATATAAAAATTCATATTAAAGTTACGTCTTTTGGTAACTGAATGTAAAAACATTTTATTTTTGAATGCAATACATATCCGATGATTCTTTTCGGCGAATAACCTTTGATCCTTTTTTTGGATGTTGTACATCTGTACAGTATGTTATATGACGTTGGGGCAACTGAAACCTTACGCTAAGTTCACACCTTCACGGCGCTTTGATGGTCTGAATTTTCTAGAAGTCAAAATGTACTTTCAACACTATTTATGGCCGCCGTTTTGGAACAAAACAGGCTTATGATATATAATTTGTACATTAAAACGATTTTAAACCTTTTTTCGAAGAAAAACAATAGCCTTGCATTGTAAACATACAATTTAGTCAAAGTGAAATCAAAACGTGGTTTGATAATTTGTTTATCAACCTTGACATTGATTTTAAAAATGATTTCTAGGTCAGCTGTAGTTTCCCTAAGAGCATGTGTTCTAACATTTAAATATCTATATATTATTGTATTGAACAGGTAAAAAATGCTTTACTGAGCATAACAAGGTGCCAATAAGTTTCACAAATTCTGTGGCCAATTCGGGTCGGATAACAGTACAGACCATAACAGACAGATAAAAGGGTCCCCTAATGTGTTAAGTAAAAACAAACAAATGGACAAACGTGGACAGAGCTTAGATAAAAATTCATCTGGTGACCATATACTGCATCATTAACTGACTTAAAAGGTGTTTCTATCTACGAAACAGATTTTACAGCAACAAAATGTAAACTCATATTATAATTCGTTTATTTCTTATTCTGTTGGATCCAGTCGATATATTCAGAAACTCTAGTGTAGACTGCTGGGCGTCCGATACACTCTCGTGTCCCCCATGACGTCACACCAGCAAGTATCCAACGTCCTTCCTTCTTGCAGACGAGAGGGCCGCCAGAATCACCCTAATAATTATTTCAAATATTATACATTATGATTTTTTGGAAACTAGAATAACATATTTAAAAGCAAATAGGTGCTATGTGAAAGACTATATATACTATATATACTATATTGACAACTATTTCTACATCTTATATATTCAACATTTTACAGAATTTTATATAATTTTGTCTTACTCTGCAGGCTGTCTGTCTTGGTGCTGGGGGAACACGTCCCATGCAGATCTGTCTGTCGGACACCTTGCCAGGCCAGTACTTGAGACAAGTCTTGGTGTCATACACGGGTACGGTCACTTCCCTAAGTCTAGTATTGTCACCAGTACCTAAATATGTAATAACATCTTGAAATCTGTGTTTAATGGCAAAATCAACGGGACAAATGAACCCCTTCAGTAATGGTTTACTGGTGCACATTTATATTAGGCCGTTTGAGTAAGCAGTAGAAAAACAACGGTTACCGATAGTTGGAATTAGCGAGAATTGTTAATGTCATTTCACACTTCATTTTGATATTATTTATGATGTAATACCCTTGCAACAAGCATAGAGAACAGAAACTCCAAAGCAATTCAAATAACGAACCTTGGGTCAATCCCCAACCTGTGGCGGTGCACTCTCCGCTGAACTGCTCTCCTTTTTGAGGAAGGCACACAACATTGACGTGCTCGTTATTGAAGTCAATAGCCTTGGTCAGTTGGAGAAGTGCGATGTCATTGTCGTTAAGGATTCCACTGCCACGGATTGAACCATATCCTTTGTGCTATATATAACAATGACATAATAAATAATTGGTACATGAAGTTCAATCTAGAAAAAACATCTTGAATCTGCTAGTGGTGCTATTCAACACATAATAAAAGGGAATTTGCCGTCGACTTGCAGGCCCGTAGCCAGGGGGGGTTCGCAGGGTTCGGGCGAACCCCCCCCTGGCCAAAAATTCTTTCAAAATCATGCAGTTTTTCACCATTTTGAGCACTTCTCAAGTGATTTTAGCCATATTTGGGCCAAAATTGTCAAATGTGAACCCCCCCCTGGAAATTTTTGAAAACTGAACCCCCCCTTGGCAAATCCTGGCTACGGGCCTGACTTGTTACGTGATTCTGTCTATTTCATTGGTCGAAGACTGGCATACGTCATTGTTTTTATTCATGTAATATAATTATTATCAAGTGTTACATTTACACATTAGGTACCCATATCATATCATTATCACCGATTTGTCGAAGTATATTTATTGTTTACGAGGCAAACATAATAAAAAATGATCAACAAATAATGTTAGTTTCTGTCGAAATAAAGTTGTATCTAATTATCCATTAGTTTTCTCCCGTTTTATTTTCAAGAAAGTGTTAAATGACGGGAGATACGTTTAGACGATGGTGGCATCGATGTCATCTTTTTTTTAAATAATGAACATTTACTGCAACAATACGTCTGACTGCGTGTTCAACGCCACTGACTGGCCTTTAACGCTGGTTATGTCATTAGTATCTTATGAGTAATGAATACTTACTGCTACAATACGTCCGACTGCGTGTTAAACGCAAGTGGCTGGCCTTAAAGGCTGGTTTTGCCATAATTATCTTATGAAAAATGAATACTTACTGCTACAATACGTTTGACTGCGTGTTCAACGCCAGTGGCTGGCCTCAAACGCTGGTTGTGCCATCCTACTCTAATCTTCAGTGAGTATGGTGAGGCTCTAAAATACATATTTATAATACATATATAATAAGCCACTCTACAATCTAAGATCATGACAATATTAAATGTTACAAATTGTTTGATATTAAAATGTAAGCATTTTGATTTAATTTTATTTTGACTCCGAAACATTGACTTAATTAAGAATTCTAAATCTTACCGTGCAACACAATGGGCGGCAGTAAGGACCCAGTTGGCGTCAATAACGACAGCTCCGCACGAGTGTCTGCGATTGTTATACAAATCAGCCATCCATGGCCATCTTCCAATTTCGGCCTCTCTTCCTCCGACTATGAAGTTAGCCTTATCGTGTCCAAGCTTCGAAACCCCACAACCAGCTTGTCTTACTGAAATTAAAGCTGAGCGTGTCTTCTTTTGTTCTATACCTTTATACATGTACACTACCTGTCATTTTACTTAATACTAAAATAAAATTTATCCCACACGTTTTAACATTTAACCACGCATTAGATGATACTAAATTACATTTTGTCAAGGCTATGAACCCTGCTGTTTTCAAATAATTCTCCCTACCGACTGGTTTTGGTGTGGTTGAAGGTCCAGTGTATCTTGGGGTTGGTGCGGTTGTTGGAGTTGTAGGAGTGGGTCTGGTTACTCGAGTGGTTGGTCTTGCTGTTGGTCGAGTTCCTGGAACAATATTTCCGCAAGTCTTGCCCTTGGAAAGGTTGCAAGAGAACTGACAATACTGTTTGGCAAATGTGCTCTGGCATCGTGATGTTCCTTTATAGAATCTACAAGATGTGGACTTGTCCCAGCATGTAGCTGTAAATATAAACGCGTTGTTTAAAGCTAAGTTCACACCGCTTCAAAGCGCCATCAAAGCGCCGTTGGTGTGAACTTAGCTTTACGAAGATCTAGGGACCAGTAATGTCCATTTCTGTTTTAACAAGTCAAGGTGGCTTTTCAAGCTAGTGTATATTCTCAAGAAAAAATAACAATTGAGTCTTAGTTATGCAAATAATGTAGGGAACCTACTTATGCATTCGAAAATAAGGTTAATTATAACATCAGAGCAGAGAACTAAATTTCATAACAACGAGATAAATATCAAAATAGATAAATGAATAATCAAAGGGGAAGTGATGAGTTGGAGGTATTTGTTCAAGAGAACTTTGTTTACTTCAGGTTAACCAAGTTAGGTTTATGCACATTAAGGTTTTTATAGACACTATTAAGAAATATCACATTAGATAGATGTAAATAAAGTTTGAATTGTAAAAGAAAAACAATTAAGATAAATTGAATATGTGGCATACGTTTACATTGAATCAAGGGGTATAGTTTTTTGATATTCTACTTACTTTCAGCAGATTTAGTGCATCCACCGCAAGTCTTCCTGCAGTAGTTCAAAACATATCTATCTACTGTACAGTACCCCCTTGCCTTGCTGGAGGAACAACTGCTGAGTCTATCGACACATTGGCCAGCTGCAACAGCCACTAAGGCCGCTGCAACAAATATGGATAAATTCATCTCCCTTTGCGTAAATGAGGATGGAGAAATACTCTACCTTCTTAAATATGACAGATTGGTTAGGGACACACGTGTAGATAAGCGAAGAGATTAGATAATGAAATAATGCCTTGTATGATCAGGTATCAGATATTATCGTTCAAAGATGGCCTCCTATATCTGTTTGTCAACTGCTCTTAGCTCCGCCAATCTCTCAATTACTGATAAGCACCTCTGGATACGTTATACATGTAAAGTGGACTTGAAAACTTTAAATGAAAAAATGTTATTATCGAACATACATATAAAAGTCGGTTACACGACGAAATATCTTTTCAAAACGGTCACTAATAACGATTTATAATTGACCTGATCCTCTTAGTTTCAGATTTAGCTAAATGTATAAATCAGAAATCATAAGAAGGAGTCAAAAGAACAAATAATTGCACAAGAAGATAAGATACAAGTCACCACTGGAAAAGTAACCACGCTGATCAAACGTACATTAAAGTACCGTGGTTCATAGGAGAGGGGCGTTAAGGCCCAACTGCACGAAATCCCCGAACAAGTAATTAATTGCAAAATTGTCTAAGCATTTGCTCTAAAACGGGTTGGTTTATTACAATAAATGTATGGATGTTTGATTAATCAACAATGCCAAGTTCTTCAATCTTCTGATAATTTATGAAAAAGTGCGTTTGCGTTCAACACACTTTTGAGGTTTGTAGGATTCAATCGGGTTATTTGCAAGCTGTACATGTATTTTGAATGCCCTTGGCTTTGAATTTGTAAATGGAAATTACATTTTTGAGAGGAGTTCAAAGGTGAATGACAGAGAACATTACTACCAGACTTGAACGCTTCCTAGTTGAATACCCATGGTGAATCACATTGTTATACCTGCCTTTGAGATTATACATGATTCAAACATGACCGCTCTCTGATTGAGTTTCTCAATCAATCAGAATGCAGTTTAGCTGTGCTCTTTTCTCCATACATGAAATCTCGTTTAAGTCTTGTTTTAATTAGATTTAAGGTGAGCTGCGTTTTTAAACATTTAATATTTTCTTCTACTTAATGGCATATTTGATTTATGTGTGAAATTTTCTATCAAAAATCGTTCATTTGCACAGTTACTCACATTTATTTTTTCCAGGATTTCGGTCGGAAGCTTTCTGAAAAGCTCAGGCTAAATTTTGACATGCATTTATTGTTCATAGTGACGATAGTTCCTCCGTGTTTAAGTTGAGGGGAATAGAAATTTACAAAAAACAAATAGGTCCGTTCTAATTCACTTCGCCGGTTGATTGTTTCATTTGCAAATTGTTTTGGAGCAATTAAGGTCAGGGTGCACTTTGATTAAAGATGACCGTGTGCTAGAAACTAGAATATTCATCGGTTTACTTTTCAAAATTGCAAAAAAAATCCAACATGCACCCTGGCCTTAAAGACCAGACAACAATATATGGCTTTTTGTAGACGAATAATGACAAACTCAAGAAAGCGAATTGGATCTGGATTTGTCAGGATAACTGTTGTTGCAGTTTTCACAGTTTCCTTGATAAAATGACAGAATTGAATTAAAACGTGCAGATGGGGGTGAGCTCATAATTCGTGTGAATATATAATAAGTAGTCACCTTATACCTGGGTCACATTTGCTCTGATCCATCGGCCGGCACCCGGCCGATTGAGTGCTTTGCTCAATATTGTATTCAATTTAGAACAAAATACTCAATCGGCTGGGCGCCGTAGTGAAAATTGGAGCAAATGTGACCAAGGCATTAGGTATCAAGATAAAGAACAATGACCACATGCGTTACAAATAACTGCTCACATGTTTTCAACAAAAGCAGTTCATACAAGCGCACTTAAAGTTGTACTCAAACCATTTTACTCGATTTAGATATATTAATGCTATCTCACCGTATGAAAGACACACTTTACGATGGTGAACCACCAACAATTCCAAAAATTCATTTTATTATGATATAGGGGATATTAAGTCAGCGCTAATCTGTTTTCGCGGCAAAACTGATTTCATTTTCAGAGCAGAAATGTTACGTCACGTGACATGACGTGTGTGGTTGAAACAATTTGCCAAATGTTTGGGGATTAAATCTTTTCAATTAACATTTATACTAATTGACATTTCATGTGACATTTTTTTGTCTAGTTTAAAGCCAATTTCAAAGACAATGCTAATATACATATTGAGACACTTTTGATTTAAACAATGTATACCAACCAATAAGAAAAATGGCTGTCACATGACCATGAACACATGGCCTGGAATTTTGAGATTATTTGTGCTTATTTGAGCATAATAATATCATATTGACCTACGTTGAGTTAGTGAAATACATGGAAGAATTGCGCATCTGTTACAAAAACGTATACGCAGTTTTGTTTGAAAGTTTTTTTTTGAAAGTTGAATATCATGACAACAAAGTTTTTGGAGAGATGATCCAACCGTTGTGGAGGAAATCTTTCACGTTTGAATTAATTTTGGAAAAAAACAACATGGACCATCTTGTATATGAAACATGAATTGATATTAGAATAGGAAGTAAGGCTGACGAATTGATGGAAGGACTTTTACAATACAGTACCAAGGGACTTAATTTTAAAGAGGTACTCCTATCTACCAAGCAGGTTTTACAGCAACAAAGTGTAGGTTTATAGGCTATATAATTCGTTTATTTCTTATTTTGTTGGATCCAGTCGATATATTCAGAGACTCTAGTGTAGACTGCTGGGCGTCCGATACACTCTCTTGTACCCCATGACGTCACACCAGCAAGTATCCAGCGTCCTTCCTTCTTGCAGACGAGAGGACCGCCAGAATCACCCTAATGATTGATTCATACATTACACATTAATCTTTTCTATGAAAATAGAGACTAAAATTATCCAAAATATACTAAATGATTTTACTTGATAAAATTTATTGACAACTATTTTTTTGCATTTGTATATCCCACACTGCTAGTATATGCATTTAAAAATATATAATCGGCTTACTCTGCAGGCGGTCTGTCGTGGTGCTGGGGGTACACGTCCCATGCAGATCTGTCTGTCGGACACCTTGCCAGGCCAGTACTTGAGACAAGTCTTGGTGTCGTATACGGGTACGGTCACTTCTCTAAGTACAGTTTTGTCACCGGTACCTAAATACACAATATCTTTTATTTCGCTGTGTTTGATGGCAAAGTCAAAACCCCTTCATTTGGGGTATTAACTGAAACCCGTTAAATGATTTATGAGCGATAGAAATGACAAAATAATGCTTCTGGAACGACATCAAACGACTTTGACATATTCTTTTCCCTATCTAATTTCTAATTTGTAATTTTACAATCAACACACATTTTAAGTAGATATAGGACAAATTCATAAACATATTTTTTGATCAATAAAATCATCGATAATGAAACTGGAAGTGTGTTCTCTTACGTCTGTGTTGAAATATTTCAATCATTTCAAAATGTGACTTGGATACGATTTCAAACTCTTCTAAATAATCTTCAAATGCTTACTATGATTTCATAAAAAGAAAATCAACACCATTTACTCGACTAGAATTTAAATTTCATTTCCGGTTCTTAGTCTAAATATGGCTTTTCAAGCTTAGCCTAATTTGAATGGACCTGCATGCATAGTTCGAAAATAGAATCGGCAGGGAAGGTTCTCACCATGGAATTGACTCTAAAGCCAGAAGATTTTTTGGGAACATTTTATAGACTCTGAAGTACAATGCACCTTTAAATTACAGATCCTCTGTTATTTATCATCATTAAAACACCCTTTACATTATTTAAAGGCCGATCCAGAAGTTCTGATAAAATATGCTGTATCTTTTTCTTAAGTAAGTGGAATACCTTGAAATTTCTACACAATTTACATTATTTATATGCCTATACAAACACAACAAAGTCGAGGGGGCATTATCTGGGAAGTATGGAGAATGGTTTAATACCTTGTGACATGATGTGTTGTCTTAGTCAAAAATGTTTTCGGCTCTGTTCGGTCGCTCTTTATGAATTGCTTTACGTAGATGAACTGAAAGCTTAGAGTCTCATGTCTTGTCTAATGTATCATGAAGCGTTCATATGTTTTCTGTATCAAACAGGATCTATAATGATTTCACAAACTCTTAAAAATTATTACTTGGATTTCCTTATATTGAGAAATTGTACTACTCATTTTAAGTCAAAAATTACTTAAATAATCTTGAACTACTGAATAATTTTTAAGTAATTTTTAAGTAATTCATTTATGGTGAATTTACTAATGCAAGGAGAGAAATTGAAATACTTACTGTAGTAATTGTAATACTCATTTACATAATTAAGCAATTAAAAAACTCAAAATGACAATATAAGTTAAACCTAAGTAAAATGAAGTAAAACTAAGTATTTAACTTTAAGTAATTTTTAGACTTGGGAAATACTTGGGAAATACTCAAGTAATTCATTTTTAAGAGTGCACTTATGAGAAGAGGACATTAACAGCAGTTACTGTTAAAAAGATATTTGTAAAATTATGTAACCTCGTAATTGGGTTTTGATCATTTGTTCAGAAGAAACCCAAATTTAAACTTCACAAACCTTACCCTGTCCCGCTATAGCGCTATTGAGGCTATCATAGCAACCATAACTTCAGAAATATTCGTTACCAGCATCTAAATGTTTATATGTTATGATGGAATAAATGACAGAGTTACTCTGAAAATATTGTTGAAAACGAATGATAAACTTTTAAATCAGAGTATTTTTATCAAAACTTCTGGATCTGCCCTTGTATTACGCTCTCTCTCTCTTCACATAGAGAACAGAAACTCCAAAGTAATTCAAATAACGAACCTTGGGTCAATCCCCAACCTGTGGCAGTGCACTCTCCGCTGAACTGCTCTCCCTTCTGAGGAAGACACACAACATTGACGTGCTCGTTTTTGAAGTCAATAGCCTTGGTCAGCTGGAGAAGGGCGATGTCATTATCGTTAAGGATTCCACTGCCACGGATTGAACCATATCCTTTGTGCTATATATAAAAAATGTTTAACATATTTAATAATTTGTTCACGTAGTTTAATCCTGAAAATTAAATCATCTTACGATATGGTATTAGGTCAAACCAAAAACTAAGATTGGATAAGCCACCGCTGTACTATACGTTTCCATTCCAACCCTAAGATGAACCTCGATTTCATCGGTCTATCAATAATCATAAATGTACGTCATTCAAATCATTATCACTAATTTGTCGAAGAATATGTTTAGTTCACCTAAACAGAAACAAAATTGTGGGTCAAAATGTTGTTAGCAACAGAAAATATTAGTTTCTGTCAAAATTAAGTAATAGCTTATCTCCCCCTTTAAAAAATCTAAGACAATATACGTTTTTCTGTTTTATTTTCAAAAAATAATGACTCGTATTCACAGTAAAATTGGATTGGACGATGCTGGTATTGATGTCATCGTCTGATTGCGTGTTCAACGCCGGTGGCTGGCCCTAAATACTGGTTGTGCCATTATAATCTTATGAGTATAAATTCTTTCTGCTAAAAGTCGTCAGACTGCGTGTTCAACGCCAGGGGCTATGGTTGGCCTATTAGTATAAAGAATACATGCGTTGTTTACGGGTGTGTAGGCGTTAATTACGCCCGTGTAGGCGTTAATTACGCCTGTGTAGGCGTTAATTACGCCCGTCAAAGCGTTAATTACGCCCGTTAAGAAGTGAATTCTATACGCGTTAAAACAAATACAGGCGTAAACTAACGGCGTTAAAATGTTCAATAGCGGGCGTCAAGACAGTATCTAACACCCGTTGAAAAACATCTATACGCCCGTCGAGTTCATTTTAGCGCCGTGAATTATGAACCAATCAGCATCTTGCTTACATGATGATACGATGCATTATAGCTAAAAGTACAACTCCAAGATCCTTGTGCAAGTTAATAACATACTCATGATTGTGCCAGGAACAACTGTTGCAATTGGAGGCATATGAAATATTATTTCTTTTCTGGGTGTCTCGGTGCACTATTTGTGCAAATGTGAAAGATGTACATCGTATATTAAATGAGTTATGTATTCCTGGAAAACATGTGACATATAAAGACGGCTGCATAAAGATTCCAAAAAGTACACTCCCCTCCATAAGTTTGGCAACCTTTTTTCCCCCATTGAACTACATGTTAAAGCCTCTTTACCTTTGACTTTTTATTTACTTAACCTGCGATGAAAATACTTATATACTATTGATGGAAACGTAATTTGACTTTAATTCCAATACCTCCAAATTTTCTCAATTTTTTTCCTCAATTACAGTAGGTCGAAAATTGATGATGAATTTGATGAATTTTTGAAAATCGACATTTCCATGTTTACCAATGGGAAATGGTAGGTTTGCCGCAAGTCATATGACAGAATATCCATCCATCCGAGTCCTTGCAAAAAATACGAGTTAGGCAGGTAATTGAATTTGCTAACTTTATTTAACAAAAAATTGATATGTTTCTTCAGGTTCAACAAAGTTATAGGGCTTTAAAGTCAAAATTGTTTTTCAAAAAAACTCTCCCATTGAAATAACACAGGAGGTGAAAATTCTTTTCAAAAATGACTTTGAAACGCTGTAACTTTAATATTCATCAAATAAACTAAACACTTAGTGTTCAAAAAAGTTAGACAATTCAATTTTCTATATGAAAATATTTTTTGCTGAATCTTTTACTGAAAAGATATCCTGATTTCTGATTTGCCCCGAACCCTCCATTTCCCATTGGATTACATGGGAATGACGATTTTCAAAAATTCACCAAATGTATCATCAATTTTCGACCTATTGTAATTGAGGAAAAAAATTGAGAAAATGTGGAGGTATTGGAAATAGTCAAGTTACGTTTCCATTAATATTATAAGTTATTTCATCGCCGGTCAAGTAAATAAAAATTCAAACGTAAAGAGGCTTTAACACGTAATTCAATGGAGAAAAAAGGTTGCCAAACTTATGGAGGGGAGTGTACACATCTCCCTAACACCAAATTTGAACATATGTTGGCTAGGTATACTAGGTATATAGGCTCATTTGACATTTTCAGTACATTTTCAAAAAATGCCAGATCTGCAGGATATAGTCTAGAGTCAATTTGCAGTTGATCAGATACTATAATTCTAGTATCTGGACACATCCTTTAGAGGGATACACTAGCGATCTGACTGTATAATGAGACTGTAAGCTGCAATGCGTGTGAGCTTAATAAGTCCCTACCTAGCCTACCTCTGAAGCCGACGCCTAGATTGGAGAATTATCCAAAAATCATCGTATTTAGAAACCAAACATGTATACCTTCTCAAAATATTCTGCAATTTTGTCGTTTCTACAATGGGTGTTGATAACTGCCAACACAGTACATGTCTCTTCAATTTGCCTTTTAATATGATTTACTAAAAAATGAATACTTCTTTGGTTAAATCTAGTTCAATCTTGAACGAATATTTAAGGACCTCAATGCAACACACTAAAATGTAAGCAGGCTTCTGATTGTTGTTTACTAGCGCAAGTATCTCGGAGTTGCTCTTTTAGCAAGGATGCATTAAATCATCTTGTAAGTAAGGTTCTGATTGGTTCATAATTTACGGCGCTAAAAATAAACTCCACGGGCGTGAAGATGTTTCTCAGCGCGTGTAAAATAACAGTCTTAACGCCCGTAATTAATAATTTTAACGCCGTAAGTTCACGCCTGTAAATGTATTCTGAACGCCCGTAGAATTTACTTCTTCACGGGCGTAATTTACGCCTACACAGGCGTAATTTTTCGTCAGCACGGGCGTAATTTTACATCTACACGAGCGTAATTAACGCCTACACACCCGTAAACAACGCATGCATTCTTTATACTAATAGGCCAACCATAAGGGGCTGGCCCTTAACGCGGGTAGTGCCATTATTACCTCATGAGTAATGAATACAAGTTTCTGCTAAAAGTCGTCTGATTACGTGTTCAACGCCAGTGGCTGGCTTTAAACGCTGGTCGTGCCATTGTTATATTATGGATAATGGATACTTACTGCTAATAGTCGTCTAACTGCGTGTTCAATGCCAGTGGATGGCCTTGAACGCTGGTTGTGCCATACATATCTTATGAGTAATGAATACTTACTGCTACAATACGTCTGACTGCGTGTTCAACGCCAGTGGCTGGCCTCAAACGCTGGTTGTGCCATCCGACTCTAATCTTCAGCGAGTATGGAGAGGCTCTAAAATACATGGACTTTTTAAACAGACAGAATGATACATGCATTTTTTCCTAGTTCAATTAGATAACATATAATAACTGAAGTTAAATGATTTGCTAAAATGAAGAAAAACAAGTATCACCGTGCAACACAATGGGCGGCAGTAAGGACCCAGTTGGCGTCAATGACGACAGCTCCACAAGAGTGTCGGCCACTGTTATATAAATCAGCCATCCATGGCCATCTTCCAATTTCGGCCTCTCTTCCTCCGACTATGAAGTTAGCTTTATCGTGTCCAAGCTTTGAAACCCCACAACCAGTTTGTCTTACTGAAATCAAAGCGGATTGAGTCAGCAGTTGTCCATCCTGACATCCTATATATACATCCTACGAGTATAGATACATAAGTACACACAAAATAATACTAGGAGCTGTCACCGTAACCATGAGGCCATGGGTTCGAGAAGTCTGAGCTCCTTATGTTTATATACAGTATCTGATATATGACTAAATACTAAATAACTAGAACATTTTGATGAAGATGCTAACCATAAATTATTCTCATGTCTTTTTATCTTAATTTCTATAGTCTACGTATTTTTTTATAGCACACGTTACTACGTTTTGCTTCTCATTCGAAGGTACTGGATCACAATATGACAAACTTTGAACCCTGCTGTTCTCTGTTTTGTACTATTCTCCATACCGACTGGTTTTGGTGTTGTTGAGGGTCCAGTGTATCTTGGGGTTGGTGCGGTTGTTGGAGTTGTAGGAGTGGGTCTGGTAACTCGAGTGGTTGGTCTAGCTGTTGGTCGAGTTCCTGGAACAACATTTCCGCAAGTCTTGCCCTTGGAAAGGTTGCAAGAGAACTGACAATACTGTTTGGCATACGCGCTCTGGCATCTTGATGTTCCTTTGTAAAATCTACAGGCGGTTGATTTGTCCCAGCATGTAGCTGTAAATAAAAGAAAATACGACGTTCTAAACACAAACGTTATCATTTATTGCATTAATAAACTAGGTTACGTCCAAGTTCGCTCCATAACGCCCCCCCCCCCCTTTATTGAGATTAGTTGAATCACAACTTTGTCTTAACAACGTTGTGTTTTGATTTAATTTAGGATTTATTTGCTATTTAGTCATAAATAAGAGAATAAAAAGAGGGGGCTTGATAGTGAGCCTTGTGAGATTCCACAATCCGTAGTACCAGGTTCAAAAACAATATATTTCTCTGAAGTTGTCTTGGTTCTATTTTGGGGCTTTTGCCAGATTTAATAATATTTGACATATTCAATAAATATGTTTTTAAATATATTTTGATCAAATGGTGTAAAATGCTTCAGTCAATTCTTGATAACTTGTTAAGTGTTTCTCATTTAATAAAAGATAGGTGAGAACAGCCTAAAATGTTCATTTTCTCACTTTTTCGATTATATTTGGCCCGTAACCCCGTAGTTGATGTTTTTCAAACACACGCTTTATTTGTAATTACAGAATGAAGCAAACAATTTAGAGAAATTGAATATTGGAACTACGTGTGTATGAACTATTTTTTAATACTATACTTACTTTCAGCGGATTTGGTGCATCCACCGCACGTCTTCCTGCAGTAGTTCAAAACATATCTATCTACGGTACAGTACCCCCTTGCTTTGCTGGTTGCACAGCCTCTAAGTCTATCCACACACTGACCAGCTGCGACAGCCACTAAGGCTGCAGCAACAAAAATGGATATATTCATCTTCGCGTAAATGGGAACTGAGATATGCTCCACTTTCTTAAGTATGGCAGATTTGCTGGGGACACAGGTGTAGATAAGAGATAAGATAATGAAGTAATACCTAGTTTGATCACGTATCTGATATTATCAGAAGAATATGGCTTACTATCTAAATTTCAGCTGCTGTTAGCCTCGGCCATCCCTTAATTTCTGATAAGCATCCCTGGGATACTGTTTGAAATAATCAAATAAAATGAACTTATTGACATTAGACACTGAATAGAGAATCTCCTGAAAAACAGATTATGAAAAATGTTAATGATAATAATTTTACTTACATACGGTGTAACACCCTTTCAATTCAGAGTCACAGTTATCCAGAATCGTAGAGCATGGATCGAACACATCATCCATCAATCAGACACGTCTGTTGATGTCATTTAACTTCTGCAAAACTGTTAAATGTTCATCTATAAATGTGAGAATATTAGCCGTTTAATGAGGGTTATATCTGAGATTTAGCTTGTAGTACTAAACAAAAATTTCAAAAAGGCCTTAGTTAAGCTTTTATGTCCTGTTTACAGAACCTCTATTCTTACTATTGAAATTCGATTTCAGGAATACCACACTACCCTACCTCGATCGCGCATGCGCGAATCTTTTGGCTTTTAAACATGTCGCTTTTGAGTATATCGACTGCTTAGTCAAAAGGTTAATACGTTTGGTGCTCGGAGTGGGTCAATATTGCTATTCGCTACACTTCAGTGGTGCAATAGTGAAGTCCATGTTCCAAGTTATATGATAGTTGAAGAAATAATGTAAATAATATCGTTTTAAATTTTAAAATATTTGATATGTCATAGTACACGGTACACAGCTGCAAAAGTTGATCAATACAGGGTACAAGGAATGTAAATTGTTCAATAGTACAGGGAGCGAGAAAGTAAGCTGATTATACAGACATACTATGTCCCGACCTCATGTACATTTACATTGCAAACAGTGAAAGTAATGCTAAAAAGGCCGCCTGTTGATGCTTTGAGGTGTCATCAATTGTTATTTAATCCAAATAAAGTAAACATTATTTTGTAGATTTAGACACGGGCTTTCAAGTCGTATGCATTTTAGTCATTAAATTAACAAGAACGCTAGATTATACGTGTTACTAGGGTATCAAATTGAAATAAAATAACGAAATTAAATATCAACACGTTAATGATAAATGACTATCCGCTATCAGTATTAATGACTATTTGCTACTCAGAATAATCAAAATTGCCTGAACTACATATGAAGAATCTTTCTATAGAACCCCTTGAATGGTCTAATTCACTACCGTCCTAAAAACCCGACCATTCAAAATGTTTTGTTCAAATTCACAAAAATACAGTTGACTAACATACTAGAAAACGTATCCACCTATAACACGATGACACGCAGTTTAAACAACAGTTAACTGGGTTTTTTGTTACATATCAATGTAACATTTTTGAAGGGACACTTACATGCTCCCTGTACGTTGATAGATTTACTGAAATGTATCGTGTATTGCATTTGGTTTTGCTTCACTGCGCCCACTATTATCTATCTTTGCCTATAGTGGTTTTTTGCCAACAATATTCTACACACTCCTTGATGAATCAATTCTATGTCTGGTAGAACACTAGAAATATATGTAAAATGTATTTTACGTTCAGAAATATGGAATTAAACCCACGTCCTCCATTTGCAACTAAGCTGTACCCTGTTTCCCTTTTAAACGTGGTCACGTGGTAGGGTAGTGTGAATACTTTTCGACATAAATCCACTTGTTGAGACTCGATCAACTTGAGTTCTTCTGAGAAAATGAGGATGTCGGCAATTGTGAAATTGACTTAGCATTGGAGTGCAATTGATTTTATCCTGCATATATACCGTTTTGTTGTCCATTCTCAATAGTAAGATTAGGGGTTCTTAAACATGACATTTGGCTTGCTTTTTAGAACTTTTTGTTGCAACTATTGTTGTAAGGGTTCACTTTTAGACCACCATGTAGAAGAAGATAAGATACAAGTCACCACAGTTGGTGCTACCACATTGGTCAAAAGTACATTAAAGAACCAAGGGTGATAGACAATGTATCAAAAAAGATTCTTCAAAATAAATGTATTCTCCGATTCGTAATCAATTCAAAACGTACTTCATTAAGGAAACATATCTCGATCATACTTTTACACAGGAATAATAGACTATGTTCTAAAATCTGAAAATAGATTTTAAATGAGTATAAAGAACAGAGATAGGTATTCCCAGTGTCAAGAATATTGCAAATCTAAATGCGGAACGACGCCTACAGGGTTCAATGATACAAGCTGTTAATCTTCACTGCCCTGGTTTATCATCATTTCATTTATTTCCTATCGTTTTATTCCCATCATCAATGTTAGTTTTATACCTTTTAACTAATTAATAGTTTTATTGTATTCATATCATTAATGTTATTCTAATACCATTTAAAATAATGTTATTTTAATACCACTTAAAGTAGTTAAAATAAGGCTACTATAGTCATCGCACTCGCCATACTAACACCGTTAATCTATACTGACGTGTGCCACGATGGACTACGTAACGCTCACCCTCGCCGTATGTATCTTTGTTGGCTGTCGAGTCGCTGAAGGAACAAGAAAGGGAAATACCACATCTTGTCCAAAGCGTAATAGCCCAAAGAACCGGACGCCTACAAAGTACACGCTTTATGATAGAACCTTCACAGGGATCGGAGATGGAAAGATTCAAGATTTCCAAAAGAAGCCGTGGCCGCAAACCTTTCAAGATTTTTGGAAAAACGACGTCGGTATCTCTCGCGAAGAAGAAATAAGACGAGGTATGAGCAAATATCTGAACAATACATTTTAGCCGAACAAACTCCTAATAATGGTTTAATCAATATGACTTTGACATACTTTGATAAACAACGATGAAAATAATCTAAAACTATTAAAAGGCCCCTTATAATTTTAAACCATTTTTCTCTCTTTTGAATACTATATTCGAATTCGGTGAACAGTTTTCTATAACGACAGCTTTAATTTACACAGTTATGTCATTTTAATCATTTTCCATAATATTTTAAAAAACCTTGGGCCAATCTACATTGATACAATGCTAAAATGTATTTGGATAACGTATTTCACATATTTTTTGTTGGCACCACCTATATCAATAAACTGTAACGTACACCAATTGATAACATACGTCCTATTATATTTTATGTTGGAGAAATTAAGAAAATTGGTCGAAGAATAAGAGAGAAATAAACTCACAAACGCAGAAAGCATTTAAAATGTAAATTCTGATTGAAACCAATGGTGCAGAAATATGTTAAACATGATAAACACTTGTTTTGAACTAATATAGGCCTTTAACTTGATCTATACGATGGAGTATAGAAAATGGCGGGAAATATTGAAATACAGATTTCTGTTTTTCAAAAGTAAACTTTTCTATCTTGTCAAGAGTCATGATAAATTATATTTAGATGGTTAAACAACATTTTCAAGCCCTGGCCGGGGCCTTTAAATAAAATCACGGTTAAATTTAAGTTTTGAAATTTGATTGTTACTTTGCAGGTAGAGCATTCGTAAGTTTTATGAAATACGTGTCGGGTTTAGACGTAAGTGAGCTGACTGATGACCAGATTGCTAACGGTGATAAAGTTGATTTCGGGGACTTTGTGTTCGACGCATTTTTCATCGACTCTGAGGTCAGGCTTCTTACTGAAACGTCACAAACTCGTGCTAAATTCTTCAGGAACTCCCCAATCAAAATCGGAGGCTTTAATATTATTTTCAAGAAAGAAGTCCCTTCTACTGGTAAGAATTACCAAAATTGTAATACCATATGTACACACATCCCAGCATGTAACATTTAATCATAAGTCACAGAATGTCTGTGGGTCATTAGAGAAAACAACATTGATTTCCCTATTTTTTCTCTCTCGTGATAGTTTTTCGAATTATATTATAAGCAATAACTCCAGATTGACATTTGAAGTCTAATAATCAAAGGTGGAAATTTAAATACTGTATAAACATTTGTTGCCTTGAAAGGTATCTCATTTAACATTTATCAACTACTGAAATCAATTTGGGTTGATTAAACAAGAGTTGTGGGCGATGGGTGTTAGTAGATAGAAAACTGAGGGCATCAGGCCGCCACGGGCCGCCACGGGCCCGGGGCTTTCAAAATCTCTGAAGATGAGCAGGAGATATAGATGAGCAGGAGATAAATTAATTGGATGGGGATTAGGAGATAACTTAATTGGATGGGGCTTTCATCTTAAATGGGTGAGAGATAAGATACGCATGACATCATTGTTATCTTAAATGGGTGAGAGATAAGATGCGCATGACATCATTGTTATCTAAATGGGTGAGGACTGAATTTTAAAACGGAAGCATAACAAATCAATAACACAACATTTTTGTTTGATATATACATTATATCCAATCTTAAATTTATTTTACAATTTTCTTTACAATTGATGTAATATTAACATTTTTAAGGTAGAAATGATAGATTCTACTACAAAATCCATGTTATTAGACACACTGAAAGTGTTTACAATTTCATCTAAACTATACCCTAAAGTTCTCAATAATATATACATGATACAATATTGTCCACAATTTGAACTGTTCAAACCTTGAACACGAATGGGATTTACAAACATTGCATCTCCATATTCTTTTAATCCATAAAATGTTTCTGTATGACCTAAGGGGTCAAAAAATTCAATTTGTGAATCTCTATAATAACATACCCAATGTTGCCCCATTTCATAGTGAGGTCTAGTATTTGCTATAAAACATTTTTTATCCATGATAATAGATGGTAATTGATCACTTGCAAATACTCCTAGAAATCTATGCTTAGTATCTGGATGATTTGATAAAATAAAACTTATATCTTGTGAATTCATATTAGTACTGAATAATATTGCGGGATGCGTCAACCTCAAATTTTCCCGGAAATGTTGCCATTAAAATAATGTTTAATGATTCAGGTGTTGCCTCAGAAAAATGAATGTCAAGTTTTACATTTCCCTTTTTAAACAATGGAAGAATTTCACCATTTGAATATGTGTCTTTATAGCCTATATCAAACTTAAAGATACAAAAACCAGATTTAAAATCATCTATGCTTATATTTAACCCATCATTGTGTTCAAGATCTGAAAACAATTGTGTAAACTCATGAACATATTTGTCTTGTGAATCATTTGAGCCAAACTTAGGTTGAAATGCTCTAAATGGAGTAGGGACATTATCTACTGAAATTTCAACATATGAAGTGTTTGCATGAATGAAATTGTAAGGATTAAGTTTATAGTTTCCTTGATATGCTGCATTTTTCACAATGACACAATACAATCGTGTAGGTACACGTCCTTGAAATAAATCATCTTGATTAAAAGAATATATATTACTAGGTAATGAGAGTACTTTCATTTCATTTCTATCATAAGTATATACAGCATTTCTCTCCTGTAATTCAGTATTATATGCTTGTAAAATACCATTTGAAACTGTAATCATTGGAACTTCTAAATGTACATCTAAAAGTTTGACTTTATATTGTTCATTTGAATCAGTCATAAGTCTAAAACTGTTTTTTGTATGATTTAGTTTTATCTTCACTTCAACACCATTAATGAGGTATTTGTTGATGCTGAAGATATCTTCATGGAATTTACATTCCATATCAACTACTTTTCCACCTTGAGTTTTCACAAATCTTTGTGTTAGTCCCATGTTGTTAGAGCCTTGTCCCAGAGGTTTTGTTGCATCCATTCCATTAGGTGGATATATCCCATTGTCCATATAAAACAGACATGCCGTACCTTCAGATTCTAATTTTCCTTTACTAGATGTTAACAATGTTTTCAACATACTTTTATAAGGATAGTTTAAGACAGATGATGCCATGTTATTTTGTTGTAATGATATCTCAACCTCACTCCATAAAGAATGAATCCAATTATTTATTGGTCCATATGAATCATAATCTGTCAAATCCACATATTTCGGTAATGAATTATCTGCTTTCAATACCTGCGCTTTGACAGATAGCTTTACATTTTGAAGATCTATAAACTGTGAAGTGTTGTTTGGTAAGATGAACTCTATTGGAGACTCACTGTCTATTGGATTGATAGGTCTGTACTCAACATAGTTCCTTCTAACAACACTACTTTCTGTTGGAGGTGTGTTAAATAACTGTAATTTCCCATTCATTACATCAGCACTGTTCATGAGTTTATATGCCATTTTTAATTATTTGAGTTGAATTTACTTTTTTCTTTTCTGTGATGTCTTTGTTGACCTACGTTTGTATTCCTGTGGAGATTTCTTATTGACTGAAGACTTACTATTGCGTTTGCTTTTATATACACGTTTTTTCTTTCTAATTGTATCACGTGACTCGTTTGACTCGTGTGACTCGTTTGAGTGCTGTCTCTTAAGTGTAGCTTTTGCTCTCTCAACGACAGCTTGCATTGGAGATATTATTTGTTTCGGTTCATCTTTAATATCATCTTCACTTATCCAACCTCTTCCTGTTTGAGATACTTTCAATCTATTCTGTCTACCAGCTCTAATAAGTTTCAACCAGTGTTCTGGTCTGTCTACATATGGTACTAATTTCATGATACTTGTTTCAAATGAAGTGTACACGTCAAAGGTTTGTCTTTAAATGACACAAGTGTGTTACCATTTCCTCTTATATAGACATGTATGCGATCAAACTCCCAATTCCCGACATCCTTGTATAATACTTGATTAAAACTCAACCAAGAATAATCCTTTGGAATACGCCTTAAGATTGGTTGTACATTTCCATCAACAACACTTTCTATGCATAAATCACAAAACACATCTAAATACAATAATGCATCATTTGAATCCAATGGTGGTAACTGTATGTCAACAAGTCCTATTTTCCATTTTCCTTTAAGATAAAAGTATCTTGGTAACTTTACAGTAAACTCTGATGCTGTATTATTGGGATAAATATTGGTTGAATCAGTGCTACTTAAATAAAAATAGATGTCTTTATCCATTGTTTAAACTGATGTACTAAAGTCTGTGTCACTATTTGATTTTTGTATTATCTCATATAACTTTGCAAACTTTGTTATATTATAGTTCTCATGCTTTTGTTTTTTCAGATAATAAAACATCAATATCATAAATGAAACACTTGTAGATCCAATTGCTAAATTACTAATTGATATTTCTTCAATTGCTAATATATTTGAAGGTGTTGAAGCACTTATTCGTGCTAATGATGTTGCATTTTCTTCTGCCAAGAGCACTTTAAAAATATGTACTAATATACAGTAGAACCTCACACTTTGATACTTCATTGCTAAATAACAAAAATGAGATGTACTTCAACATTTATATAAATATCAACATAACATAAAATAATGTTTTTCTATTTATTTTAAGTATAATATACAATATTAAAAGGTTTTGATATCCGTAGCTTTAACCCAAGAATCAAATTTCTTAGGCCAATATTTCCAATGTACCAAGTATTCTTTTTGACCTTGTTTTGTGCGTTGTTTTAAAACTTTTTCTATTTTATATAGATTGTCTTCATCAATATGCACACGTTGAAGCTCAGGTTGATAAAATGTTCCTTTAATCTCTTCACCTTCAAAATCTTTCAAGCGATATAGAGGTAGACCTTGTCTGATGAATCGAGCAGATATTTTGAAAATCTCTCCAGTCCAATGTTGATCATATTCTCTGGTAAAAACATGCCTTGCTTGTGTAATTCTAACCTGAGCTCCAATAGGGAATTTGAAAATTTGCTTGGATTTGGTTTGACTTTTTATTATTGATTTAGGATAATACATACGCCACCAAATATTAAGCTCATCATCTTTAGAGACATCTTGGGGTGCTTTTTTAATACTTCTATGATGTGTAGCATTATAGCTTTTGACAAAGTCCTGTAAATTATCAATATATCTAAGATTTTGTTTATATGTGATGTATCTCATTATTTTCGTCTTCAATGTCTTAATAAAACGTTCAGAGTAATTTGCCTTGGAAGTATTACGCGTAACAAAATGACGCACTCCCCATCTGCGTAACAATGTCTGTACACGTTTTGCACGGAATTCTTGACCAGCATCACTACGTATTACATCTGGTACTCTCCCTTCTTTAAAGATATCATCAAATGCATCTGCTACAGCTTGTCCAGTTTTATTCTTAAGTGGTCTGACAAATGCAAAACGGGACATGATATCAATGACAACTAAAATAAAACGTATCCCATCATTCTCCGATGACATATTAGAGACATCCATTAAATCAGCATCCCATTGTTGATCAATGTAAGACACGTACACTTTGTTACGCCGAAACCGTCTTCTATATGGTCTTTGTAGACTATAAGCTTCCTGACTATCCAACCATTTTTTGACTTGGTAGTATGATACATCAAATCCAACTTTTTGTAAAGTTCTATGTAATTTTTTAGGTCCACTAAAACTTGCTGGTTTAGAAGTATCATAATAATTCTTTTCTACATATTCTTTCCAAGACATCTTTCCTCATAGACGTATATTTTAATAATGTCCCAGGTATTGAAATTATACATATATATATATATCAACTGCTACTTTCAGAATTGCTTTCATCATAATCATTAGATTGTTCTTCATCAGTAAATTCTTCATTAGCATTGCTTTCATCATAATTATCAGACTTTTCTTCATCAGTAGATTCTTCATCTGAATTGTCTTCTTCATCTGTATCTATAAATAGCTCACTAAACTTATGTTCATTTTTCACAA